TTCATTAACTGCTAATGACAGTAACACTCTCACAGTGTTTAGTTTTGCTACCGGAGCAAACGTTTCATGATAATCAACTCCAAAAGATTGAGTGAATCCTTTCGCCACTAATCTCGCCTTATATCTTTCAATGCTACCATCAGCTTTGTATTTTACCGTGAATACCCATTTGCAGCCGACTGGTTTTTTATATTTCGGAAGATCAACTATAATCCAAGTATTGTTGTTTTCCAGTGCTTTTAATTCCTTTTCTACTACCTTTTTCCACTTGGGATCTTTCAATGCTTCTTCCACCGTATCTGGAACAGTAATGCTATCTACAATTGCTGTAAAGTTCTTAAAACAAGGCATTAGCTTTCCATATGCAACAAATCTCTCAATTGGATAATTTCTGCATTTTCTTACTCATTTCCTTTGAGCAATCAGCAAGTCATTATCATCAATTAAAACATTTAATTCAGTGGAAGAACTCTGATTACCTTCTTCATTCTCCAAAGGATTCTCGTTCGGTTCAGGTTCATGATAGTGTCCATGCTGTGTGGGAGACTCGGGATTAGGTTCAAGGATTGATTTAGAAATTGGTTTTTGTCGTCTCTTGTAAATCTACAACTCAGATTGAGGTATTTGAGGCGAAATGATAAGTTGATCATGCCGAGGTAAATGTGTTTCGGTGGACTGGTTTGGCAAGGATACGTTTTCTGAGTTTGGTAGTGTTGTTTGGTCTGGCTGTAGCGATTTTGTAGGCTTATTCGACTGGTTTAACTGGTTTGACGGTGTTGGTTGATCAAAAAGAGCTGGCTGCAAATCAAGTGACAATTGTTGTGAGTCAATAAACTGATATTCATTATATGACTCCCTCTGAATAGCAGTTTTAAGGAAAAAAGTATTTTTTCAAAGAAATTAACGTCCATAGTAATAAAGAATTTCTTTGTACGAGGATAATAACACCGAAAGCCCTTTTGAGTCTATGAATAACCCAGAAACACACCGAAATGCTCGAGGATCTAATTTGGACCTGAAAGGAACATTGTTATGAACGAACACAGTACAACCAAAAACTCTAAGGGGTAACAATGAAGTCATTGGTTTAAAATTGGGAAAAAACTGAAGAAAAACATCTATCGGACACTTAAATTGTAACGGTTTACTAGGGAGATGGTTAATCAAATAAGTGATAGTTAAAAGAGCTTCCCCCCAAAAATAGTTGGGAACATTTGTGGAAAAAAGTAGAGACCGAGTAACCTCAAGAAGATGCCTGTTTTTTCGCTCAGCAATCCCATTTTGTTAAGGAGAATTGACACACGAAGTAAGATGAATAATCCCGGTTTCCTGAAAGAAAGAACCCAAAACATTGGCAAAATACTCGCTACCATTGTCAGAATGAAACATTTGGATTGAACATTGAAATTGGGTTTCAACCATCTTATGGAACTGTTTAAATATTTCACAAGCTTCAGATTTGGTTTTCATGAGAAAGGTCCAGATAGTACGAGTGTTATCATCAATAAATGAAATAAACCAACGAAACCCATGTAAAGATGCGACCCGAGATGGTCCCCAAATATCACTATGGATCATGGTAAATGGTTTGGACGGTTTATATGGAGAAGGTAGATAAACACTCCTAATTTGTTTAGCAAGTGGACAAATATCACAAGAAAAAGATTTTGGACCTTATTGACAAACAAATGTGGAAACAATTTTGCAAGATAAAAGAAACTAGGATGTCCTAAACGAAAAAGCAATAACATAACATCGGTTGAAGGTTCAAGTAAAGGAAATTGTTGTATAACATGGTAGGAAGTAGATGGGTGGGAAAATAAAGTTGCTGGAAGTAGGTAAAGACACCCACAAAGCCTAGCACTGCCAATCACTTTCCCCGCTAGAATCCTGAAATTCACAAAAATCAGAGTTAAATTTCGTGATACAACATAAATCGGCAGACAACTTGCTAATGGAGATAAGATTGCAAGTAAGATTGGGAACATAAAGAACATGAGATAACAAAATATCATGATTTATTCGAATAGACCCATGATCGGCAACACCAGATAGAGAACCATAAGCTGTTCGAATATGAGATACAGACGAGTCGGCATGAAAAGTGCGAAAGAGACGAAGATCACCTGTCATATGATCACTTGCACCAGAATCCACAACCCAAGTAGGAGTGGTGGATGTATTAGCCAAAGTAGCAGAAGGAATTCTACCTGCAGGTACTGATTGGGAATGAGTGTTTAACTGACTAAAAAACTGCTGCAACTCTTCCATTTGTTTTTTAGTAAACGAACTTCCTTGTAAATCAGTATTCACAGCATAGTTTTCTTGAGTATCACGTTGTTGATGCTGTTTTGAAGACTTCCCATCAGTAGGCTTGCCATGTAATTTCCAACAGAAATCCTACAGATGGCCAACCTTCTTACAAAAGTCACACCAAGGTCTCCCTTTCTTTGGCCGAGTAGTAGTTTGTGAGTGAGGGATATAATTGTCACCATTCAATCGGTGACAGGTGATAGAGGCTGAAGAAACATCAGAATGGGGTGAATTAATGAGGATTTCCGAAGTGACCTCCGATGAAGTGGTGGAATTCATGATCGACGGCTAGATTTAGGGTAAAAAAAGAAAAAAAAAATTGGCTAGATTTAGGTGAAAGATCGGTCACCTAGCTGATACCATGTTGATAAAGAGTAAACAACATAGTGGAGAAGAAAAGAAACTCTTTTCATTATATATTGTGAATGGTGAAAATACATCTTTTTATAGGAAAAGTTAGGAGTAAGTTTTCTATTAGAAGTAAACTACTTAGTAGTTATCCTTATCTATCTAACTTTCTAATAGTTAGTGTTATATTAAAATACTAACTTATCTATTGCATAACCTACACAATTTTTTTTTGAAGAAACCCAAGTTTACCTCGTCAGTCCGAGGAGCTTTATTCGGATTTGACTCTGACACAATGCCCCATATTTCCTCCTTTGTAAACTCCACTTCCAACCTCTGAGCCATATCTGGACTAAGCTTGGCAAAATTCATATTTATCTCCACTGCCTCTAAAGTATTTATTGAATTATAAGCCACTTTAAAATGATAATAAATGTGTGCTTTTATAACTTCAGGATTCGAACACTCCTCCCCCTTGATCTTCAAAGATAAAATAGAATTTACCCTACCCCTCTTTGCTGCACATTGATGGAAAAACCGGGAATTACGATCCCATTCCAAAAACCATTTACACCTTGATTTCTGATGCCAAATTCGTTCCTCCCTTTGATAGAGCTTTCATAATCCATTCTTCACTTTAACAATTTGATCGAAGTCCACCGAATTCGAACCCTGTTGCCTTGCCAATTCCTTCTCATGTATGGATTTTTCCAAATCTGCTACTTCTTTTGATAATACAAAATGTCTATCTCCAGACCATGCTTTAACAGCCACCTTAACCTCTTTCAATAACACAAATAGTCCTCTGCGTCTCGTCCCCATCTTCAATTCCCCAAACTTTGTTTTTATCATTTCTTGGAAACTATTATCCTCCAACATATAGTTAAATAACTTAAACGGCCGAGGACCCCAATCAAACGAAATATTTTCCAACACTACAGGATTATGGTCTGAAATAGAACGAGGAAGCAAAAATTGAGATATTCTCGGAAACAGATCTAGAAACAACGAATCCGCCAGAAATCAATCCAACCTCACAACCGATTGTTCCTCTCTATTATTTCCCCAAGTGAAAGTACCACAATTCAAAGGAAGATCAATCAATTCCGACATTTGCATAAAATCCGAAAACACCTTCATTGAATGAAAATTTTGATTCTTACCTAGTTTCTCTTCAGGAATCAAATAAGAATTGAAATCCCCTCCTACACAAATAGGCCCAACCACTTGTTCCACAAACGACACCAACTCATTAAAAAAACTTTCCTTTTCCACTTTTATTGTAGGACCGCACACATTGACAAACCAACATTTATTACCATTTCTTTAAATTAACAAATCTCCTACTCATAACCTGGTCCAAGACATCAATCTTATCCTCATCCCAAATAGTAAATAACCCTCCTGCAGTCCCTCCTGAAGGAAGTACCAGACAACCTTGTAAGAAACTCCCTCCCACTCTCCTCAACAACGACTGGTTCATCACTTGCACTTTAGTTTCCTGTAGGAAAACCACTACAGGCTTCTTCTCCTAACAGCCCTCACCTTCTTCTTTCTCCCCAAACCACGCGCATTCCATGACAAAACAGAAAACTTCAACATTAATACAAATATAACCCCTATAGGATGAAGAAAACTAACTCCTCCCTCCTCCCCACACCTTTTACTCATTTGTGCTAATTTTTCAGCCACCGCTCCCCCCCCCTTAAATGTTATTCCTAGGAGATTTCCCAATTCCCATGTAGCATTGACTTCATCATTCTCTTCTAGTAATAGGAACGACCTGTCACCCGCTTCCGATCGGCATTTGTTTCTAATTCACCCCTACACCCCTTCTCAAACCCCCATCTCTATTATCCATAAAAATCTTTGCATTCCTCCATTCATTTGAAACCAGTACATCCTTATAAGATCTTCCATCCCTCATTTTGTTCAAAGATATTGTTTCTTCTCTTTTCCTACCATCCTCTCCCCTATTAGACTTCTATGTTTCCGTCTGGGACCTACTTCCAGCAGCTAACAACGACCGCTTACTCTTATATTTCACAGCCCCAACATAGACTTTCTTCCCGTCAATCCATGCACCGTTGACATTCTCAATCGCTTTCTTAAATCCCCACCTCTTTCTCAAACTGAACAAAGGGACTGTATAAAGAGAATAGATCTGTTAATTATTCTCTAAACATATGTCCGCCTTGATCTTTTGACTATGATTAATGAAAATACAACCCGAACAGCTAGCAGTATTTTTAGCACAGGAAGAGTGTAACCAGAAACACCAAACCTTCTGAATAGAAACCAACAATTCAAAAGTTATGAATCAGAATAGTAGCACTTACGAGTTCCAGCTGTCGAACACTACGGATTTCTCTTGGCAGTTGTACCTTTCTACTGGTGTCCTATTGAGAGGACATTAATTAATTAATTTGTGAAAATGAATTATAGCCAACTGTAAAGAATAGAAATAAAAAACACTGGACATTTGGAGCATGTAATGAAACCTCTCTCTTGGTCTCAAGTTCTGCAAGCTTGATATAGATCTCCACCATTTGTTTCATCTGAAAATAATTAAAAGTAATGCCAACGATTACAAAATAAAACAAGAAAACCCACCGATAAGAACAAAAAAAAATTATAGTAAAAAGAAATAAAATCAAATCACCTGTCTAATAATAGGACCATGGTATGCTGATAACTCTTCCAAGAGATTTTCTGCAGCAAGCTTTTTATCCAAATCCACAACAAAAGAGTTCCTGCTTCGCTGTTTGTCCTTGATACGGTCACCATTTGCAAGAGCTAGAAGCTAGCATCAAAACAGAAAGAAAGTTGCAACATTTCAAACAAAAAGGTAAAAACCATATTTAGATATAAAAATACATAGGCACTAAGATGTTAGAAGTTTTTCAGCGCATACTGCTAGGATAAAAAGGTTATGTAGCCCTTTAATTTCTGTTTCAACCACCGACATAAATTCATATAGAAGCTTTATTTATTTATTATTTATTTCAAAGTAACACAAATGATGACTTAAGCAATGAAAATTCATTTTCCCAACAAAATGCAGTAAGGTTGTTAAGATTACCAGGATGATTGTATGGTAGGGATGATCAATGGCCATTTTCTTCACAAGAGAAACCAAGGCAAACTGCAAAGGGACAATTTGATTAGAATGAAATTGAACTCAATAGAAAATTGAACAGTCCAAGAATAGTAAAACCTGAAAATTATTAGGCCCAGTTCCATCCCTAACGTTTCCCAGTCTTGAAGCAATTTGGTACACCAGTGGAACAAATTTATAAGTTTGAACCTGAAAATTCAAACATAGAAAAGCTAAATAAAAATTTAATAGGTTACACTTCAACTACATGATCGGCCCTGAACTCAATACCTCATCAATCGTTTTAAGCAAGTTGTTGACAACATCTTGTTTACATGAAAGGCTGAACCACAATGATACTAGTCGAAACACCTAAACGCACAAAGGTTAGTTTATGAAAAAGCATTTTTTTTTATAGGAATGGCAGGCCTCGTTAAAAACCCCCTTCATGATTAATGGATCATAAAGTGCTCCTTAATCAGCGGAAGGAGGAAAAGAGTGCCTTATAATTCATTAAAACACATAAATTACATAATACTTAGGGAACAATCAAATAGACTCCCTATACACACCAACCCATAGCATAAAAAAATAACAGACCCAAACATAACCAAAAGACTTCAAAGCTAGCCAATACCAGCCTTTGCTAAAGCATCAGCCTCAACATTAGCTGACCTAGCAACCCATCTAATAATGCCTCCCAAACCTCTTAACTTAGTAATTATTTCGTTCACAATGTCTACATATACATTGGGACATCTATCATAGTTCTTGATCCAGTCCACCGCAATTTTACTATCGGATTCAACAATCAAGCGATCCTCAAACCGCCGCTGGAATGAAGCAAAGAAAATCAAGACCTTCTTAATTGCCATTAGCTCTATCAAAATGGGAGGACCCGGACCAGATGCCTCTTGAAAAGAACCCACCACCGAACCATTCTCCACTCTTAGAATTCCCCCAACTCCACTTTTCCTCCAATCTGCAGTAACAGCTGCATCCACATTCAATTTTATATAGCCCTTTGGAGGCCGAGTCCAGGCCTTAATTTTAATGATTGAAGATATAGAAATAGCGCAACAATCCCCAAGCGAAGGATCACAAATAAGACAGTCCTTTAGAATAGGCGTCTCCTTATAGACAACTAAGAACCATGCAGCCAGCCTACATCTTGCCAAAAAGAACAGATCAATCTGATCTAAACTCCCCTTATCAAACACAATCGCATTTCTACATTTCCAGATTGTCCAAAACACCACTCCTGGAATGAAAGTCCAAATTATAGAATTAGGCACCAAATCTCCCCAAGCTAACAAAAAACTTTTAGCATCAGCTTGTAAAGCTGAACAAACACCCCAAAATCCCAAAAAATTATTCCAAACAGACCACGCGACCGAGCAAGTAAAAAATAAATGAGAAGAGGATTCATCCGCCTTCTTACATAATGGACAAGCAACATCAACAATTGCTGAAACTCCTCTCTTATGTAATTCAAGTTTAACTGGCAACCTTTGATACACCACCTGCCACATGAAGATCTCCACTCTAGGGGGAACCAAACCCCTCCAAATGTGCTTCATCCAAAAAGAATCTGCTGTCAAAACAGGACAGCAAGACTTCAAACACGAATTAACAGAAAAAAATTCCTTCCCCATTCCCTCTCCATACCATACCATCTGACATCTCATTATTAAGTGTGAAATTATGGATTACATCCATTAACTCAGCAAACTGATCCAATTCCCATTCACTTAAATTCCTTCTCAATTGAATATGCCAAACCCAAACTGAAGACCGAAACTCCCCAAACTCATTAAGCTTCCCATTTTTGTTCATCGAAAGAGCAAACAATCTTTGGAAAACCACTTTAAGAGGGGAATCAAGCGCCCAACTATCAAACCAAAATCTGATACTCCCACCATTCCTCACCCTAACATTAAACAAACTTCGAAACTTAGTTCCAAATTGATCCTCATTGAAATGGTTATTGACCATCGATTTCCAGATCCATGAAGCATTAGCAGGAAGTTTTTCATTGAACGACAAAAAACTAGAGTCCAAATTATATTTACTGCAGATTACCTTTTTCCACACTGAATCACAGTCATTAGCAAACCTCCATTTCCCAAGTAGAGCTCTATTCATATAATCAAGATCTACAACACCAAGACCACCCACCCGTTTATCAGAGCAAACTGTTGACCAATTAACCCAATGAATTTTTTTGACCTCAACCCCTCCTCCCCACAAAAATCTAGCCATGATAGCATTGAGTTTATCATATACCGAAACAGGAATCTTGAACAAGGACATATAGTAGGTTGGTAAAGAACACAAAACTGCCTTCAATAAAACCAATCTGCCTGCCATAGACAGTGTCTTAGCCTTCCAGCCTGTTAATTTGTTGTAAAACTTCTGCACTACCAGATCCCACATCTGCTGAGAATTTCGCTTAGCACCAAGAGGAAGCCCCAAATATTCCAACGGGAAATGACCTACTAAACAACCTATAGCATTAGCCCACTGAGTAACCACTTCCTCAGTAATGTTAATCCCAAATAATTTACTCTTAGTGAGATTCAATTTAAGGCCTGACATAACTTCAAAAACTCGAAGAACCCTCTTACCATTTAGAATCCGAGTCTTCGATGCATTGCAGAAGATGATGAGATCATCTGCAAATTGCAGATGAGACAAATTAACAACATTCTCGTCTTTGCCAACTGTCAGGCCACAAAACAGGCCTGACTGGACTGCTTAGATAATCAGAAGATTAAGCAATTCGTCAACAAGATTGAACAACAATGGGGAGAGGGAACAACCCTGTCTAAGACCTCTAGACAACAAAAATTCATCCGTAGGAACACCATTAACCAACACTGATATCGAAGCTGTAGTGACACAAATCCGAATCCAGCTACACCATTTTGATCCGAAACCCATTTTACCCAAAACTTTAAAGAGAATGTCCCAATCTACCGTATCATAAGCCTTCTTAAAATCCACCTTAAAGACACAAGCCTTCAAACCTTTCTTCCTCCATAAGTTGATACCTTCATTAGCAATAAAAGAACAATCCAAAATTTGTCGACCCGGAATAAAAGCAAATTGTGAGTCACTGATAATATCCTTGATGCAACCTCTCAATCTTCTCGACAGACACTTGGAAAGAATCTTGTACATCCCTCCTACGAGAGAAATAGGTCTGAAATCATCCAAACCCCCAATATTAGAACCCTTCGGGATTAAGGTAATGAAAGAATGATTAATGCCATTCTCCCACTCCTTTCCCAAAAAGAAATTATGGAAAAACTTCAGAATATCCCTTTTCAAGTAAGGCCATAATTTTTTGAAAAAACCCATGTTCAACCCATCTGGCCCAGGAACTTTGTTACTATCACACGAGTTAATGGTATCCCAAATCTCTTCTTCCATAAACTCCTTCTCTAATAACAGACTCTGCTCCAGAGAAATTCTTGAAAAGTTTAAATTAATATCCTCCACTTCCAAGGTAGAACGATGATTAAAGGCTTTAAAAAAATGTTCTCTGACAGTAGACTTTATAATAACCGGATCTTTGATAATTTTACCATCAACGTGAATTGCATTCATAGAATTCATCCTCCTCCTAATGGAAGCACTTGTGTGAAAAAATTTAGAATTCCGGTCTTCATCTTTCACCAACTTTTCTCTTGAATTTTGAAACCAAATTTGTTCCTCAACTCTGTAAAGTCTCCACAGTTCATTTCTCATTTTCCTAACTCTGCCGCATTGTCATCTATAATGGCACTCTGATTTTGCTGCAAACTTAATTCAAACTTAATTCAAACTTAATTCAAACTGTTGAATTTTATCTTCCAGAGCAGCAATATCCTGCCGTGGAAACTGTTTCCTTTCCCCAGACCAGCTCTTAATGGCCGACTTTGTATTCCTTAGAATGCTCAAAATTCCAGCTTTTTTCTTCTCCTCGAACTCCTTAATAGACTCAACAACCTTCTCTTCAAAACCATCCTCAGACATTAAATAATTGAACAATCTAAAAGGCCTCTTCCCCCAATTGGTTGATACAGTAAAAATTGGTTGATACAGTGCAATTCTTCTGAGAAACTGACATTAACCAGGAACCTATCTAGTTTAACAACAGTTGGAACATCCCGATTGCTGCTCCATGTAAATTCCCCCCTATTAAAGGCAAATCAATAAGTCCCGTTTGCTGAATAAAGAGCCTAAAAATTTCCATCGAATTCCTATTTTGAGCCATACCATCCTTCTCATTCTCTGTTATGTAGGCATTGAAATCTCCTCCCACACACAAAGGGACATTGGAACCATTAATGAACAGTCCCAGTTCTTCAAAAAACCTTGCCTTCTCTTCTTCCAAAAAGGACCATAGACATTTATAAACCCACATTTAAGTTTGCTGGACTTAAATTTCCCAAACACTGCTAAAAACCTCTTATGAATATGATGCTCTTCTAACACAAAAACAGTCTCATCCCAACAACTAAAAATACCTGAAGAACCTTTAGCTGGAGACACAACAAAACCTTGCAACTTATTCAATCCACTCCTTAAAAAAGCGAATGGTAAATTCTCAAGTTTTGTTTCTTGAAGAAAAAGAAAAGATGGTTTTTTCTCAGACTAATTTCTGAACAGCTCTCTGCTTTTCTTTTTTACCCAACCCCCTAACGTTCCAAGACAAAATAATAAGCCTTTGCATTCTAAACTTATATGACAAACCAAGAAAATCCTATAAATTGCCCCCGACCTCAGCTAACCGCACTCGAGCCTTTCTCCAAGTCCATAATGTTTTGTAAAAAAGCATCTTCCCTTCCTTGAAAGAAACACCCAGAATCTTACTGATTTCCCATGTAGCAACAGCTTCGTCCAATAGCACAGGAAAAGCTGATGAGGATAATGTGGACACACTAGCATGTTCCACAGCTTCCCTAAAGAGTGATCTTCTAAATCTCCTATTAAGATTCCTCATCCTAGGACCAACATTGTCCCTTTCTGAAAAACCAGCAGCTACTGGAATTTCAGAATTACCACCCTTAGAACTTGCAGCCCTACTTAACTCCTTACTGGACTCCCCTCGAGAAACCTTCTTACAAGCCTGCACGTCTTTAATCCACAACTTTCTTCTCTTAGACCTGCAGTAAAACCTCTTGAAACTCCTAACTAACTTCCTGCGAACCGGGCCGGACTTCACAGAATTTGCAGACCGAGGTTGTGAACCACCTGATGAACTTACCACCTTAACCACTTTAACAGACCCCAAACCATCTTCAATCCCACCTGGATCATTAATATTATCTGCAGCAGAACAAAATTTTTGACCAATATCTGGGCCCAGACCACTCAACACTGGACTTGATGTACCTATCCGAAGCCCATTCTCCCAGTCAACTTTATCATGCTCAAAAGAATCACCCCCCATACTCAATCCACCTTCTATTCCTCCAATAAAGCCTTCCGATTTTCCATGCTGGGTGGAGACAACTCCTGCATCTTCCACTCCTCTACACTTATCCACCGAATAATTAATTATAGAATTTGAACACCAATTGAAAACTTTTTCATTTCCATGGGATACATTCAAATAAGTGCAATAGATTCTAGATGCAGGCCTTACTATAAAAAACTAAAACTAGTTGTTCACACCAAAGCAATTGGAATTAACATTATAATTTATGTTTTTAATGAACACAAATCATAACGTTTTTGTTTTATCTTATGCAGAAAATACTAGGATTCAAGTGCATACCACTCTAACGTCATATTTGTCACCTATGACCAAGCAACGCTTATATCCCTCCAAAGCTAGGTTGAGAAAATTGTCTCTGTCGTCCTGGGAAGCAAAGAGAAGGATATAAAATATTATTTATAGGCTAGATTATAGAGCTTTACGTCAGGCAAAAGATTAAACGGTGTGCGTAAACAATAAAAATAACAATAGATCTTCCATGATTATAGATGACAAACTTACTACTATTACGCTATTTTATTATTTCTAAATTCAAACTTATTTATTATTTTTTAGATATGTGAATGCACGGCACGGCTAGCATTCTAAGTTATCTTTAAAGTTTTAATCTAGGGCAAGGAATAAAGCTTTCTCTCGAAAAGGATCCTGGGGGAAGAGTGTTGCTAAATTTATACCTATTTAGTAATATTAGAGACATGGATGGATGGTTAAGATTATAATTTATCTATAGAGTTTTAGTCTAGGACTAAGAATAAAGCTTCATTTTATAAGCTGTAAAATAGATTTGCAGCCACATTATTATTAGGCTTAATGCAAAAATAAGTGCCCAAACTATACACAATTTTTTTTTATAAGAAAGGGAGGCCTCAACTATACCCAAAGTTAACTTTAGGTGCCTAAAGAATTTTCCGTTAAAAATAGGTGCCTAACGTTTCTGACATTACACTTTTAGGTGCCTGCCATTAAATTCGGCCTTTAGTTGACACGTGTCAGGCTTATACAAAATTTTAAAAAAATTATTTTAAAAAATTGATATTTTATGTCTGACACGTGTCACTTAAGGCCAAATTTAACGGTGTTAACGGTCCAGGCACCTAAAGTTAACTTTAGGTAGAGTTTGGGCATTTATTTTTACATTAAGACTTATTATTTTTTTTTGATAGATTAAGCCTTATTATTATTATCATTTAATTAATAGACTTTAGAATCGGGAGGTTTACCTAACCCTATGTTCTATTAAGATTTCCAGCTTCTATCTAACTTGTTTTTAAGCTTAGTCTATTGATTTGCTAGTGTTTTCTTCCCAAAGTGTACCAATAGAGCAAAGCAAAATACTTTTATATCTTTTCTCCAAAAAGTACTCAGGAAAGCTACATCAGATAGCATATTGCAAACAAGATATGATGCTCAGCACATGTAGAAATGCATACTTAGATAGAATATGCCTCCTAAAAATGAAAAAGTAAATCAGTACCTGCAATTTTTGTGCTTCTTCCTTGTCCATTGCAAGTTGCTTTTGTAACTCTTGAATTTTCACAGAGTAGTCAATTTTGTCCCCCTAAAAAGTACCATCATCCCAGAGAAGGAAAATGAAAGCAGTAAATAGAAATTTTAAACACCATCACAAGCAATTACATAACATGGCATAATGTCGCTTTGAACGGAAACATCATTGTAACATACCTTTGTCGAACCATTTAGCCGTCGAATAAGGGCTTCTAGTTCTAATGTCTGCAGAGTCAATTTACACAAATTTTAGCGACAAGCTCTATATGTATATATGCATATTGTCAAATACTACCTTATGTTTTCTTAAACGCATTGCTGCCTGCCATTCATTGGAATTAAGTCTTTCCTCATAACTTCTGAATAGTGCATCTGCATAATGTGCAAGGTGGAAATGAATCTGACTTTGTCTTTCTGCAGACTTCTTGTCAGCAGTCTTGTGACCCTCAGCAAGTGACACTGCAGGTTTTAAATACTTCTCGAAAATAGTTCTTGAGCTATATTTTCATAGAAAACATTGAAGAAAGAAAACATAATCAATATTTACCATTAATTTAAAAGAAGAAAACAGAAAAATTAATCCAAACGGAACAATCATACTTGCTAGATCTAGTTTCTGCCAACCACTTCCCGACCAATCGATATACATCTGAAGCCCCATTGTTCAACCGATAAGTTTGCAAGATATATTTTGCAAGGCTGATGGCCATTTCATGCTGACCTTGAGCACGCAACAGCTTTGCTTCCTCAAGCTGCAATCATACATATGATACAACAAACTGGATCGGATTTTATTTAAAGATATTTGTGATTACGAACATGGAGACATGGTATCATCCAAGAAATAAAATTAAGACCATTAATAGCAAGGAATTTTCTAGCAAATTGACTCAATCACCAAGTTAGGTGAAAAAGAAGGGTAGTATCAAACAATTAATGCAATTTTTTATTTTTATCTTGATTCAGTTTTCTTTCTGTTCGACTTTTAAGTGAATAGCATCAAGGTACAGAAGTAAACGAGAAAATATGACATTAAACAAGAAAATATGATATAAAGCAAGTATTTGAACTCCATAGCTCTCACATGATGAGAAAAGTTATAAAGGAAAAGATAAATAATTAGAATTTTGGAGAGGCAATACCTAAATGCTGTTATTAGTCATAATAATTTTGTTAGAGATACAGAGAATATCTTTTAGAAGATGAATCAACAGCTGAAGCAATTTTGAAAACCCAAAAAGTTATTTTTACTGATACCGGAAGATAAAACCTAAAAAATCCATTCATAGCTTGCCTCTGATTTAATAGAAAGTAAGATAACATGAAGTAAACATATAGGCTGAATAAAATCCTTTTAGGTAGCAGAGGTCAATGCTTTTTACAATCTAATCTACCTATAAAAAATGATAATAATACAATTAAATCAGAAATGTAACCAAAGCTACAGCAGGGGGAAATTTGAGCAAAAAACTCCTGAAAAATAGTAAAAGGTCTTCTATTTTGAATAACCAAATGGAATGTGAACTAGAACGCTCGGTGATATAATTATCTTCCATCAAATTTAACTGTAAAGCAATACAGAAAGAATTGGGACAAATTTACCCTTCCAAGCCAATATGCAGATGAACCTTGTTCTCCAGTTCTCACACAAAGAAACTTAAATTCATGCAAAGCTGCAGCAGCTTGAGAAAATCGAGAGCCCTGTACCGAATTGAACCAATTAGATAAACAGAATAAAGCATGGTGGCCTAGTACTCTGAATGGTTATCATACCTTACGAAGAGTGGATGCAGACTGCAGAAGATGTTGCATTATACAGTCATGGCAATTCAAGATTTGAAGTAGAACTCGCCTAAATGCAATAAATGGTTCTAACAAACTCATATGCAGTTGTGATTTTGTCAACATGGAGCTCCAGTCCTTATTCAACCATAACAGCTATATTGAAAATTAAAAACATTATAAATATATATTGAAAATTCCCCTTCAGTTCCACCACAGAAAAGTTAGGATAGCTATATTAATAGAATAGGTTGCAAGATTGGCTACAATCTTCTTCCAACAAGAAAGAAGTCATGCAACATCTTTCACATCAACACATGGCAAACCATAAAAGAATATTATATAAACTTTCTATATAGCACAATCCTACCACACACTAAAGGTAAATAAGAATAGGACAAATCATCTTAGTCAATACAAAAAACTGTCACTTCGGCACACACTCTAACTAGACAAACAAATTAAACTCACTCTACCATTCACACCAATTGGTATATCAATTCAACATCTCAGATGATGCATTAATCTCGCAATCTATGGAATTATATTACATGCAGACAACCCACATGCTTTTGAAGTCCATATAAATAACCAAAATTGTTGTCACAGTTTTCTTCTTCTCTCCTTCTAGCCCTCAACTATAGAAGAATAGTGTAACCATGATATTGATGGGTCAAAACAGGCTTATTCAGTAAATAACCAAAACTTGAGGACCAAATAATTTTCATCAAAAAGTTGGGTTTTATGATGAAAGGCAAGTAGACAGTCACTGCTGGTAACTCATTAATGTAGATTGCCACAGCTATGGTATACAAAGTGCTGGAAGCAATACCTGATCCATTGTAGGGATTACAGGATCTGAAAATATTTTCTGCTTATGTTTCTGGAGTTCTATTCTTTCACATGAAGATGTTGGCCAGCGCAATTCCCATGCTATACCAAGATGATACATGATCTGTAAGAAAGGATTTGTAATGTTAAAGGGACAACAAATTAAGATACAGTGCAAGATTTTTCCCCACCCTGTAAGTCAACAGATGGGACCACACAGCATAGCACTGATTCAAAATTCCAATTTCTAAAGAATGTCAAAGGCTCAAAGCTATATAAAGAGTACTGCATGCCGTTTAAACCAATCATAAACTGAACATTGCATTGCTCAAAAAAGAGAATCAACAGATAAAAAGAATATTTCTGCCAGTAGATTCTAACAGAGAAGCACAAGAATTGTGCACAGAGCAGTTCAAACTAACCCAGTAAGTGTTTGTCTTTTTCATGAGTACTATAATGGACCTATAAGAGTTTCCTTCTGGATCAGAAGAGTTGGAGGAACAGACAACCATAGCCAGGCCATTTGATTAAAAAAATCTCTCGTACTTATAATACTATACAATAATATTGGTTCAAAGCCTAAATCTGTTACAAGGGAATTATTCCAGAATGCCTTTTGGGCCATGAGAAGAAAATACCGCATGCCAAACTTTACATATCAGTAGCATAACAATATTGAGGTACCTGAAACTTGATTATTGTAGAGTAGATAAACTCAGTGCTTTCCTCACTTGCATGAGAAACAGACCAAACAAGCTCCTTCAATTGACCAAAGAAACAAGTGTATCAATAGGTCATGCAAAGTCAAGCACCTAGAAAACAGAAACATATGCGGAACTAGCGCAACCTCTTTTGAAAGCTTCAACTTTCTCTGAAATTCATCAGAATCTCCCTCCTGCAATGCTCTCAGACAACTGACATTCCACCAAGTGTAAACAAAATCATTGTATCAGCGGGAAAAATGCATGAAACTATAAGTCAGCTCAATACTAGGGCTTAAACATTTAGGTATTTGATTCATAGTATAGCATCAAAAATCTTCTTAACTAGCAGTTCAGATTTAACATAGACACTTTGCCATTAATTGAGAACTCAGCACACAAGGGAAAGCCTACACTTGAAGAAAGACACTTAACCATTAATAATAGCAAGATGCCTCTATATAAGTAAGCTTAATACAAGGGGCATAAACATTTAGGCATGAATTTTATATTATAATATAAAAATCTACTAGACTAGCAGTTCAGATTTAAAATCTAGACATTTTGTCATTATATGAGAACTCAGCACATAGGGGAAAGCCTACACTTGAAGAAAACAATAAAGCATTAATAAAACTTGGTGTGGATGGTGCAAGAGTACTGAACATTAGGAGCCTCAACCTGGCATCTCAGACTTTTAGGATTCTTTGTTCATTTTTTCCTTGTATCTTTTGTGAAAGTGAATCACTCAAACCATCATATTCTTGTAAACCAGTTAGCTAAAATCCTCAAAGACGTGTGCTTAACACATGAATATCATTATGTTCTCTAAAGCTTAGGAGCATTCATCAATGTGCTTATCAAGTTTACTTTCATCTCATTCATTTTCATATCAATAATATTATTTTGTCCAATTAATAAATCCTTTAAGGGCCTTTAAACTGACATACAAATTCAAATGTAAAGTTTTTGAGCTATCAGGAATGGTTCATTTATATCTTCAGGAAAAACAGAACTAGATACCGCAGAAAAGAACAAAAACAAAAAATTTACACAAAATGCCTTTCCTAATAAAGCATCCCGGTTATTTTGCTTGATGTAAAAACAATGTTAATATGAAATTAAGAATCCCATTTAAAAAAAATCAAAACAAATTACCAATGCAAATTTTCATTGAAATGATGAGTTTTAGCATGTTGCTCTGGAAATTGAGAACTAACTCCTGCAGAAAGTAAAGAGAAATCCCAGTTTCCTGCACGCCAAGCAGCTTCGTACTGCAAATATTTTCTCAGGCAATAAAGGAAAAGAGTGAGAAACTATTGCATCCATAGAGAGACCAATTATGTATTTAATCAACCATCCAAACCAAAGAGAATATATAATAATGTAATGAACCTGCAATTCTGAAAACTCTAAATCCTGCTGAAACTGACCCTTCCCAGAAGTTAATCCTTGGCAATATAGATCCAACACATGCCTACAACCAATTTGCTGCAAAGATCTAATCACCCCTTTGTAAGGTTTCCACTTTGTCTCATCTTCCAATGTGGAAAGCAGAGGTTGAGACGAAGATTGGGTCTCTGCTAATGACAAAGTTCTAGAACTTCCATCCATGTGAGCTATGGCTTCAGATCGCACTTGTAAGTCATAATATTCTAGGGCCTTATTCCAGTTTCCCTCATGCTCAAAGGTAATAATTTGGGAGGTTAACTATTAAAAAAAAGAATTTAGATAACTGTTAAGAGAAATTTTTCCACCCAAATGTATATGCAGGAAACAAAATTATAAAATCAACATCATTTGCACACTTCTTATATGTATGCATTTCCAAAAATTCAGTTGACTAACAGTTAAATAAATAAGAAAAGTCCACATGTCAGAAACAAGTCGGAACAAATTTTCTACTAAGTTGGCAAAACTTTAGCTGATCTGATACACAATTTGATTCACTTTCACTCGAAATATTCCAGAAAAAACCACTATGGTAGTAATTTCTGAGATAATCAATGGTGAATAGGACAAATACCGTTAAGATGTGTCATATACTGAGATATCCCATGTTACTACACTAATTATTTAATGAACATTGAACAGAAATTAAGAAACTAATCATAGGAACTAATTGAGCACTGTATGGACTAGGTAGACTAACTGTGTGCGACTGGATAATTCCATATAAGCTGTCTGGTTCATTTATTTGAGTGATTGCTGAGATAAGAATTTCAATGTGCTGCGGTAACTGCAGAGGAAAACAATATATGGATAATTGTTAGAAGAGGTATCCCCCATGGCAACCAAATAAAGAAACACAACCAAATATAAAATTGAGCATATAGGTTCAATTATTACTTGTATTGTTTTACAAACTGACCACCAGAAACTGACCTAAAACTTCATAGCATATATTCTGTGTGAGTATCCTATTTCCAACTTTAAAAGCACAAAGAAAAAATTTTATCCACAAATTACCATCTCAAGATTGGAAAAGTCAGGGCTCCCAAGGGTGAGGCCATGAAAATGTTCTTCACACCAATACTCCACATACATCATGGATGTGAAGTAAGAACCACAAATCTATAAAATATAAAACCTTGTTTCAGAGAAAAGCACATAAATTCCAAAAATAAGATATAAAAGGAAAAAAAGTGGAATCAATTAAAAGGAAATGGAGCGTGAAGGTTCAGATACTCACAATCGCTGACCTAGCTATAATGAGATAATCAATAGAAAGCCAATATACCTGGCAAAATAATACATTCACCTCAAAAAGAAAATCAAGGAGCAACAAAGAATGACTAAAATAAACCAAACACATCCAAATTTCAGAATTAGAGCAGCAACTTATGGTAATGCAAGTAAACAATTTTGACAATCAACTCTAGGTACAGTAAAAACTGTCCCACAACTGACGTTCATTGTCTACTTATCAATCTACTTTGGACCATCCTTTGGACCAGTGTTACCTAATTCACGGAACGGGTACGAAATCACAATTCGTTAATTTTACCGTTAGCAGTTCGTTGGGGGTATACTTCTATGGAGATTTATATATAATGAGACTCAAATTTAAGTAGTCAATAGTTAGAGATATTAGTCTGTCAATTATGTGGAGACCTAATTAGTAATTGACAGGAATTAATATTTTAATTTTTATAAAAGAGGAGGACTAGATTTGTAATAAACCAGCTATGTGAAAGTGTAATAATGAAAATACATATATTAAAACAAAAGCTGTTATTTTTATTGGGTTTCGTGCGTTCATATCTTCTTCACTTTTCTCTTTCTTTTCACAAATTTTATTTCTCTATTTCTCTTCACAAGCTTTCAGTCTTCTGGACCTCTGGTCTTCCCCCTATCTTCCACTGTTGATAATTAAAATGCCGATTGAAAGAGAGCAGTTGATTCCACCGTCGACGATCTGCAACATCGGCCCTTAAACCGCCTTCCTTACCCTTCTTTCCCCCCCTTCTTCCACTGAACTCTTCTCCTTATCTTCCTTTGTTTTATCTATGATGGGTTTTCGGTATGGCAATTTGATCGTTCTGGAACGTGTTCCTTAACAATTTGGCACATGGACGAATCCCGAATTGGAACGAACGAATCCAAACGAGATTCGTGGGGATGGGGCAAATTAGGTAACACTGCTTTGGACTATTCAACAAATCAATATAACTTATGTGTGAATATAGAAATCTTTAAACTTCGAGTAATGGTAGTAGGTGATAAACATCAACGTGTTATCAGTTAGAAAAAAATAGAACCTTTTAACTGCATTATGAGGGGACAAGCAAAAACAAGAAACATTACCACAAATAAGCCAGATGAGAAAGCTAAAAAGTTTCACAATTAAGTCCTCACTTCACAATTTTAATGAGCTCCCATAAGATGCTATTAATGACTAATACAAATAAGTACACACATTACCAGAGCAGTGCTTCACCTCCACCAGCGTAAGCCTATAGCTAACCATCCCTTTCAATAAAATGCAAAAACGATTATTAAATTGTACTTGGTAAACTTGCTTAGCCCTACTCATAACCTCCACTGTCAGAATGTTAGACGCAACAAACCAGTAGCAGGAGTTTGGTTCTGATTCCAATTTTGATTCTGATTTTATTTTTATTTCCTACAGTATATCTAGTACCTATTCTGATTTTTATTTTATTTTCTAAAGTTATCTATTAGCTTAAATAAAACATTCATAGTATGCTACGAAATTGGGGTTGCTCTTATTTAAGAGCAAAGTTATCTAGTACCTCTATTTAAGAGAAAATTTACCAAGTAATAAAACAAGTAGAATTTCAGTTAATAGAGGAAGGCTACTCCCTCAGTGTTCCATCACCATAGGCAAATCTGAATTTCCCATTCATCCCCAGTAACTCGATCCCACAGAACACAGTATGACAGAATATTTCAGCATGTAACACAAAACAATAAACAAGTCAAAGTAATGCTTAAATTTTGTGAACCATTCCTTAGATCAAACTTTTATCTTATCAAGCCAATTAGAAAATAAGTAATTCTTTTCAAGATGCCCAAGGTTGCAAACACAGCTCCTTCCATAAATGGAAGAGCCTAATAGAGATGAACTTCTGCAATTTTAACACAAGCTGGAACCTAAAAACAAAATCGCTCACTAATCAAGTAGTTCTCCATCTTGTATTTGGGTCAACACAATATGCAAAGGCTTACTAATCAAGTAGTCCTCCATATTGTATTTGGGTCAACACAATATGCAACTCGGGAGGTTTGTAATATGTTGGGGATCACGTTTAAAGGGGGTCAGCAATTATTAGAGGAGGAAATCGAGACGCTGGAGTTGAAGAGGGGTTCGAAGAAGTTTTAGGCTTCCTCTTTTTACTACTGGGTTGTGTAAACTGTTACATATATTTTAATGTCAAAAATTAGCTTGCTATCGTGGAATATTAGGGGCTTAGGTAGACATGAAAAAGTCAGAGCAGTAGCCAGACTTGTGAAGAAGAGCAGACCCATTATTTTGTTGATACAGGAGACCAAGCGTGAACAGTTTCAGCATGATTTAAGAAGAAGACTGGGGGGGTTGTGGCTAAAGGGCTTTAATTTTTCTCCAGCTGTGGGTGCTGCAGGAGGATTATTGTGTTTGTGGAATGAGGATGTGTTTGAAGTTAAAAATGTTTTTATTCACAGCAGATTTATAGCAATCGTTGGTACATTCAAATCGTCAACGGTAGTGTGCAGTATTGAATGTGTATGATCCTTCTATTGAGGCAGAAAAAGAGGCTTTTTTCAAAGAGCTAAAGGAGTTTGTAGTAGACCTTAATGTCCCGGTGTGCATTGGGGAGACTTTAATTCCTATTTACAGCCGGATGAGAAGATGGGGGAGTCTCAAAATTGGCATACAATTGAGCTGTTCAGGAACTTTGTTCAACAGACTGAATTAATGGACCTTCCATTAGTGGGTGGCAGATTTACTTGGTGTAACAACAGGGACTGTCCAACGTGGATCAGATTGGATCGATATTTAATTAATGGCGATTTTCTGATTACCTTCCCGAACATAGTTCAAAGTCTTCGCCCTATGTCTCTCTCGGATCACAATCCGGTTTTTTTAGAAGAGAATCGATTGAATTGGGGTCCTAAACCTCAGATTCTTCAATTACTTATTAGAGGAAGAAGGGTTTGAAGAGTTGGTCAGGTCTACAATCTTAAACCTCAACAGGGAAAATAATCGTAGGGGCATAGTAAGAATTTAGCAAGGTACAAAAAAAGCGATTAAAATCTGGTCGGGCAGCAGGCATACAGAGATTTCCGACTCTATTTCGATGCTGGAGAACAAAATTCTTGATATGGAATTAAAATTTCAAAACAACACTCTCTCGCATCAAGATTGAAGGCAGTTGTCGCATTACAGGAGTGAGCTTTGGAGGATGCACAGGATAGATGAGAGGATTTGGTTTCAGAAGTCAAGGGCAAAATGGATTAAGGAGGGAGATAAGAATACGAGGTTCTTTCATCTTTGTGCCTCGAGCAGGAAAAAACAGAATTCCATCTCATTGATTATTGAAGGCCAGGAGAATTCGAATCCAGATCAAATAAAAGAGCATGTAACAGATTTCTTTACGAAGGCTTTTAACAGTGTAGCAACACTGGAGGTGGAGGATTTGAATCTAGGTTTTTCCAAATTAACAAATGAACAAAGGGAGCGACTAGAGGTGCAATTTTCAGAACAAGAAGTTTGGGAAGCGATCTCATGTTCAGATAGTAATAAGGCGCCTGGTCCGGATGGGCTCACTATGGGATTTTTTAAGAAGTGTTGGCCTAGTTTGAAAGATTTTAGTGATGAAGTTCTTTAGTGATTTTTATCAGAAAAAGAAATGGGAGCACGATGTCAATCATACATTCAGTACCTTAATTCCGAAGAAAATAAATCCAGTATGTATAAAATTTTGTCTAAAGTATTATCCAAGAGACTTATATCGTGTGTTGAAGATATTGTTAGCTCATCTCAGTTCGCCTTCATTCCAGGAAGACAGTTGCTAGATTTTGCATTTATTGCTAATTAGGCTATAGATTATTGGAGGAAAAAAGGGCAGAAAGGTGTTTTTAAAGCAGATTTTCGCAGAGCTTATGACACGATTGAATGGCCAATCCTACTCCGAATCATGAAGATGGGATTTGGTGCAAGATGGTGTTCGTGGATCTCGTATTGTCTATCTACTGCGTCGGTTTCTGTTCTGTTGAATGGTACCCCCACAAAGGAGTTAACTATGTCTAAAGGTTTAAGACAAGGATGCAGCCTTTCTCCAATCCTGTTTAATTTGGTTGGGGAGTTACTTCATTTGATGTTGATTAAAGTGGCAAATATGGGACTGTTCAATGGTTTTACTGTTGGAGGGCCAGCTAACTCTTGCCAGTTGTCGCGTCTTCAGTTTGCAGATGATTTAATAATTTTCTGCCGCGCTTCCATTGTGCAAATCAGAAATGTTAAAAGAGTTTTGAGAATTTTTAGCTTGATGGCTAGGCTCCATCTAAACCTTTCGAAAAGTCATTTATATGGGATCAATATTGAAGAACCTACCCTAAATGATTGGGCATCTTCCATAGGTTGCTCTGTGGGTTCTTTCCCGACGGTATATCTAGGATTACCGTTAGGAGCGAAGAAGAATTCAGAGGTTTTGTGGGAACCAATTAGACAGAGGTTTAATAACAAATTGACAGGTTGGAAAGCTTCGGCATTATCCTAGGCTGGTAGATTGGTCCTTCTGAAATCAGTTCTGACTTCTTTGCTGATATTTTTCCTATCAGTATTCAAACTGTCGAATAAAGTTAGTCAGAAATTGAATTCGTTGATGGTTGGATTTTTGTGGGCGGACGGTTCAGAGAAGAAGCGCATCCATTGGGTGAATTGGCAAACGGTGTGTCGTCTGATTTAAGGAGGCTTGGGGGTCTTAGATTTAAATCTTACTAATCGGGCTTTGTTAGGGAAATGGATTTGGAAATTTGCTAACGAGGATACACTGTGGAAGAATTTGATTTGCTGCAAACATAACATTGATAGTATGACTATGTCGGTTAGTAGGGTGTATTCTACCCAAGACTCTTGGATTTGGAAAGGAATTGTTAGAAGCTTCTTGAAGAATGTCGCGATTGTTGAGAGGTTTAGATCGCATTCTAGAATTCAAGTGGGAAATGGCAAATCAATTTCTTTTGGGAATAATATACCGTTGAAAATTCAGTTTCCAAGAATCTTTATATTGTCCCCAAATAAATCGGGAAGGGTTAGAGATTTTGGCAGTTATGATTCGAATGGATGGATTTGGGATATTCGTACGAGAATAAATTTATGTGATTGAGAGTTGGAACAATGACTGGAATTAATGATCAAATTGAACAACATTCAGTTGACAGAGGAAGTGGACGATTTTTTATCATGGACAGGGGAAGGTGATTACTAAAGACCTAGTGGTGAATCCTATTTGGAAGAATTGTGTATGGACAGGGTTGGTCCCTCCTAGAATAGAATCCTTTCTTTGGCAAGCTACTCACCAAAAGTTGGCAATTAAGTCACAGTTGAAGAACACGGGGTCCCGTTATTAGATGGGGAGCTTTGCCCGATGTGTATGTTAAGTGCAGAAACGGTTCAACATTTGTTTATTGTCTACCCAGTGGCTGACGAGGTTTGGACTAAGCTTTTCAGACTGTGGAATATAAGCACAGCTTTGCCTAGGGATATTTCTTCTCTAATCAGTTCCTGGTCTGATGGTGGCTAATTCAATTATCTGGAAATTTATTCAAGCTGTGGTTCTTTGGTCGATATGGAATCATAAGAATTCTATTGTTTTCGACAATAAGGTTCTGGACAGATCTTCCCTTTTCTTCATTGTCAGGTTCAGATTAGTCAAGTGGTTCTTAGCTAAGTTCCATCAAGTGAAGATTCCGATGGATTCGCTTATAGTTGATCCTACTTTAGCAGATGGTTTCAAGTGTTTACAGCTACAAATAGGGGTGTTCAGAAATGGCTCCCTCCACCTACTGATTTCTATAAATTTAATGTCGATGGTGCTGTGAGAAACGATGGGATGGCGGGTGGCATCGGGGGTATCCTAAAAAATTCTAATGGTTTCGTCCTAGCGTCGTTCTCAGAAAGAGTAGGTCCTGGTCCTCCCCCATTAGCAGAGTTGAAGGCTATTAGAAAAGCTGTTGATATTTTCTATTCCTCTGTTTGGGCTTTGAAAGGCAGATTAATTCTGGAAACTGACTGTAAAAATGATGTGGAATGGGTTCAGTTGCCCAGTCTCGCACCTGTGTTTTTTACTAATTTAATTAAGGAAATTAAGTCTTATGTACTGTCCAGGGGTCTGGTAGTGAAGTTAATTCCTAGGGGTTGTAATTGGGAGGCTGATAAGTTAGCAAAGGAAGGGATTGGTTGAGTATAGGCTGTTTTAACAGGTTTTCCTGCTTCTTTCGAAGTCAGCCTTGTATGATGTTATGTAAAGGTTTTCTAATGTATCTTTGAGTAATTAATAAAATGAGGTACTCTTTTCCTCCTTTCGCTGGTTGACCCTTTTCTTTTTGAATGGGTCAACTACGAAGGGGTTTTTTAATGAGATCTCCTACTTCTATCAAAAAAAAATATGCAAAGGCATCAAATGCAGTCCTGGTATTTTTTTAGCACAATATAAGCGAAAAGCAAACCTTGTCCCATGAAGATGTTGTCATGGTCATTGCACTCAATGTAGGTGCTGAATCTCTAGGTTTCATTGGGGAATGGGATTTAGAGCTAAAACTAGAAGGCTTAGAATGCTGCAAAATCATCATGAAACTCTTAAGTGGATTATAAATAGAATTCATAATCATCCATAAATCAGATACAATGCCATAAATTTAAAGTTAAGTCCAGAAGAATCGATGCTAACAAGCAAAAAAAATGTCATATCTTGATTGGTTACATTTGAGTACAGATATGATATTGAATATTATCATGTGTATGGAGTAAAAAAGTTCACTTGCTAGCATTACAGCTCAGACTTGACTCTTAGTGGCACCTATGCACAAAATGTTTCATCCTCGTAGACCTGTCTTTCCATTAAATCAAAAGATTTCGACAACGTTCTTCAATCTAGGATTTCCATCAACCTTAAGAAATTATCCCTCTTTAGCCTAATTAAATGTAGGCTATCTTGAATGATATGCTAACTTTAATGACTAATTGTAAAATCATTATATAACATAAATAAAAGGAAATTGTTTTATTCATTAATTTTTAATTTTTAAGATAGGCATCCAACCACATACGCTAACTTTAATGACTATTTTTTTTTTGGTATATCCACATTTGTTTTGACAGATGACGGTCTCTTTTATCTCCGCTTCATCTCACGTGTAGGGGCAACAAACATACCACAAGGTATGAACTTCACATGTAGGCATAACAAACCTATTGTGTGATATGAAATTCGCATTTTAGAGATAACACACTTATCACGGACAGGCTATCATATGCAATGATACCAAGAAATGAATAGATTGAATTATTTCTGCAAAGTACATTGTATATATACATATAAGTTATCATCTTTACAGGATTAAATCAAATCTAAGACTAAACCTTATATAATCATTCTAAGATTTAACTAAGTTCTCTAGTCAATCAAAACCTTGGAATTCCACATTAATCCTATCTAATTGTCATGTAACTGAGGCAACAAAAGAATAGCAGCATCAGATCCAAACAGAAAAAAAATCTGATATATGTACCTTCGAATGTTCTTTTCTTAACGGGCCCAAAGATCTTTCCAGAACATAACAAAATCGAAGTTCATTAAGGGCATTCAGCCAAACTTGTATAGACTTTATCAACTTATTCGACTCCACAAATATATGCTCCTGAACCTGCACATTGAACAAAACAAAAATTCCAATTTGGTGTTTTCAATTAAGATCATAAATTGCAAATTAGACAACAAATTAAGAAAGACATCACACAGTATCAGCACTGATATCAGAAAGTAACCTAAAGGGAATTTAGAAACCATTTCAAAACATAATATCAACTCGCTAAAATAATAACTAAAAAAAAGAGTTATAAGCAACAGAAACAAGAAATTTATAACTGAAATATATAGTTGCAGGAATAATATAATCCGTTTGTGTATTACATATCCTTGATGGATGAATGATATGATGGTCAACCAACTGCACAGCAAAAATCAACATCTCACGCATTCAATGCATGCATCCATCTATACCATCCTAATTGCCATTTGTTCCCTATAATGCATCCCTCTTGTTCCTCAAAAAAATCCAATGAATCAGATTGTTCCTTTAGCACAGAACATGAAAAGGTTCCCTTTATCATTAAGGTTGGAAAAAGCATTTGGCCTAAAAGCTGCTGCATTCCACCCGTACCTCAACGCTAGTGGGAGTAATAGTTTTGGCTGGATTCTAGGCATCAATGCAAGAGGTGTAGTTACAGTACAAAGCTGTAGTTTGTGACTAGAGTTACTCTCTAATCCTTGTATCTCTAATCATCTATTCATGTCTCTGTCTTTGGACATTTTAAATTTTAATTCATCCCAACACCATTTAAAATAAGGGCTAAGAAAAACAAAAACTTTGGCCAAAAAAAGAAAAGCAGAAAGAAAAAGAAATAGCAAAACATCAATCTCGTTTAGCAAAATCTCCCATTAAAAGTTTAATAGACAACCTGTTCGGCGATTAAATTATGATCAACATCCTTTCTTCCAGCTAAATTGACAACAACACTGGGCAAAAGAAGCTCTGCAACTTCCGGTTTCAGCAGCACAACATCCTGGCATAATCTTAACGTAGCACATTGAGTAATTAGGAATTTGAGCACGCTATCAAGAGAATGAAATTAGAATTATGTATTTATAAGGTTACATTCAGAACCTAAATTTGGATATCCAATTTTAAGATTTGATTTCAAATTCAGGAAATGGAGATCATTGTGTGGCACTGTGGCTAAAAATAGGATTGGAGAAAGATTTAAAACAATCTTACGATTTAAAAATCAAGAAGTTTTTAGCTGGGTGAATTTGGCAAAACTAAAAAATTATTTGAAACCATAGATGTGGATCCTTTAAAAATCCAAGTGGGTAAAATCAAACTCAACATTTTAAAACCATTCCAGAGTCCAGACCACAATTTAAACCATAATCCAAATATCTCAAAACGTACCATAACACATTTCTAGAGGTGCAAGAAAATAATACCTTAGGATCACATCATTGCAGTAGCCAACTAATGAGTATACAAGTGGACATATCCACTTCTCAAAAGTTTTACCATGTGTCATCCAAGTGGTAGACTTCTCCAGATAAATGTCTTCAGCTGTAATAACATAGAATGAACATATATAAAGGAAAACCAAAAACCAACAGAAAATTTATATTACTATCCAGGACTGAAATCAACCAAAAATCAAAAATTAAATATGGCAGCTTCAGGTTTCAGCTAAACAAAACAGAATGCATCCGGAAAGTCGGTTCCCTGGAAGGGATTAGCCTAAAGCCTATTAATAGCACGATGTTGGATCTACCTATCCTAGAGCATACTACTCCTTTGATTGTTTTCCTTGCAGTTACACTTCATTTTTCATGCTAATAATGCTTCTCTTATTTTTTTTTATAGGAATTGAAGGCCTCGTTAAAAACCCCCTTCTTGATTAAAGGAGCTTGTAGAGAAGCTCCTTAATCAGTGGAAGGAGGAAAAGAGTGCCTTAAGATTTCATTAACAAAAAGAAATTACATAAGATACAACCAGATAAACACCCCCAACATAACCAAAAAAACCAAAAAACCAAAAAAACCCAAAGACACCCCTAAACAACAGAACAGGCTCAGCCTAAACCATCAAAGGTACTAACACAGTCTTAATTTTGGCTGAGCTGTAAACCAATCTAGCAACAGCAAAGAAGACTTAACGCCTAAACAATTCCTGGAATACAACACAAAACAGTACAACAAAATGCCTGAAACAATGAACCAAACCCCTCCTAAAGTAACTTGACTACCGCCGAATTACAAGACCTAGGAATAAGCTCCAGCAAAGTTGGAGGGCCTGGATCTGAAGATACTATGGAAGAACCCATCGTACTGCCTTCCTCAATATCAACTGACTCAATCCATAGAAACCAAATTCTAGCACAAAAGCCATGAGCTTCCAAATGCTTCTCTTATTGAAAAGAAAAAATTCATTTGCATTTTAAAAAAGCAGTCACTGATCATCCAATGCCCCCAAATAAAAGTTTACAATGATGATAATAACTAATTTCTTTTTTTGATAGGAATAGAAGGCCTCATTAAAAACCTCCCTCATAGTTGCCTCTTGTAAGGAGACAAATAGCGGAAGGAGGAAAAGAGTGCCTAAATATATTAATAACCCATAATTACATAAGATTCCAAACATTACATAAAATTACCTAACATAGAACCATAACCAAAATAATATACCATAATCACTACCCAAAATAACAACCTCCTCACTCACTAACCAATTCCTGACTTAGCTAGACAGTCAGCTTCCACATTAGTACATCTGCTGATATGCTTAATGATAACATTAGACTGCACAACTATCTTTTGAATTTCTGTAATCAAATCAACAAGGTGAACGGGGCAAAGTTTCGGGCTGTTGATCCACTTCACAGCAAGAAACGAGTCACTTTCCAAAATCAGAATTCCTTTGTCCCTCCAAACTGACTCAAAAAACACTTCTAACCCCACTTTGATAGCAAAAATCTCAGCAAGAATAGGAGAACAAGGTCCTAATGCTCTAGAAAAAGAAACCAGCTTATTCTTTTCGGCATCTTTAAGAACTCCACCAATACCACTTCTTCTCTAATTAAAGTTAACAGCCCCATCAACATTCATCTTAAAATAACCTGTAGGAGGAGGGCACCATTTTACTCTTGACGATCGAAAGTTAGAGGGGGACTTATGCAAATCCGCCAAAGTAAGATCTCCCACAAGGCTGTCCACTTGGATAGACACATCCTTGTTTTTAGCTAAAAACCATGAAGCCACCCTATACCTCACCAAAAAAATAAATTAGCTCTATTCAACTTGCCTTTCTCAAATACAATCTGGTTCCTACACAGCCAGACATACCACAAAACAGCTCCTGGGATAAATCTCCAAATACACGAGTTTGGTCTTAATTGCGACCAAGAAAGCATGAAACCTTTCGGATTATTAGGGAGAACTGAATTAACTTTCCACATACGGAGGAGTTTGACCCAAATCTGCCAAACCTGGACGCAAGAAAAAAATAAATGCCTGACCGATTCTAGTTCCACTCCACATAACACACATAAAGGGGATTCAATATTTTTGACTCCTCTTCTCATTAAGATAGTTTTAACAGCCAACTTCTGATGAATAATTTGCCAAATGAATATCTCCACTTTTGGTGGAACTAAACCCTTGCACACTATCTCCAACCATGAATTATCTGATTTTGACAAACTTGAAACTAATCTAGAGCAAGAATGAACCATAATAATTAATTTCTTCATCTTATAAAATCTAAATATAGCCATGAAATATATAATAATTATAAAAATAATAATAAACCTACAATATAAGATTCATTCAACATACAAAGCCCACTAAAACTTTCTTAAGCAAAGAGAAACAATTTTCAGTTATTTAGCCATGCACTACCTTTAAACTTCTTTCCCAGATCCATTAATATCTTTTCCACCAGCTCACAGTTAATTCCTTTAGAGTGAACCTACAGGACAGAGAGCATAGTTAAGCATATGAGAGAGGAAGATTTGCATTAAACTTTCAAAAAATAAAACCGGGTATCAGGACAATGAAAGGGGCATATCATCATTAGCAGGAGACAATCAGCAGCATCCAGTTAAGTACAACAGAAAAGTAATAGAGAAGAACCGTAAGCATTCAAATTTAAATAAAATGCAGCTGCATCTCTATCAGACTCAAGTACAAGTGACCTTATATTTCATATATCGGACTTAAGCACGCTTCATTTGTAGAATAATGTTTCTTGTAAAAGGATAGGGAACAGCACCTATGACACTAAAATATTCAACCCAAATGCATAGGTAATGAAAGCAATTTCACAAATTGTTTCTGACAGAAGACAAACTGAGCTTTAGCGCAGCAGCACCTCCAGATGCCTCCTAATTAAATAACAGGTAACTCTATTTAACTAGCAGGCATTGGAGGTCCAGATCAGATTCAAGTCCAAACATCCTCATCAAGCCATGTGAAGTTAGATGGTCCAGGAACGTTCACATGGTTGTCTAGGGATTAGACAATGAGAAAAAGAGCAACCTTCTAATTTGACAGAAATTTCAACAATGATAAAACATCCAACCATCAAAGACACGCCATTTTCAACCTAAACAAGACAATGTAATTGATATAGATTGAAATCTTTAAGAAGTCAGCTATCCCTGTGGAAACATGGCCACAATATAATTCTAAAGCGCCTTTCTAAAGTGAAGTAGAATCAAGGGCTTTCTATCAAAAAAGGGAAATATGTTCCTCCTATCTTCAATCATAAGTTCAAGGAACTTGTCACGTTTAGAGTTAAACAGCATAATAAGCAATCAAACCAGAGAATTGAACGCTTACCTCGATCAGAGATCTTTCATTAGAATCAAATGATAACATAGCTTTTTGACCCCTTTCAGTTGACAGTATTCCCTATAGGAAAAGTGAGTCAAATACATAAACAATATTTTATTTTTACCATCAAAGAAGCCAAAATTAATATTTTCAAAAAGTGTGTGGGGTGAGAGAAAAGAAGAGAGGGAGAGAACAAATTAAAATAATACGGACCAAAAGTCCAAGATAATTATGAGAGGAAATAGAGTCAAACAGTTATTCTTTTCCAAAATACCAAGTAAAATAGGAGATCTAACTACATTATGATAATTAGGTCCAAGTGAATTATTTTAACGAACACCATCACCAAATAATTTACCATCTTAACAAGATTACACGCTTTTCCCTGGTCCTATCCACTCAGAATTTATCTTCGGTCGTAGTTTATAAATGCATCAGCAATTGTTTTCCGGCTAAGGTTCAAATTAATTTTGTAGGCAATATAGCAAGATTGTAGAATTTATGTTGTCATTACTGCTCACCTAGTCAAATGATGCTGGTTGACAAAAAACAGAAAGAAAGAAAAAATATCATTGGATAGAACCTAAAAATGGAAACTTAACCCTAAAATTGAGGGAAACATATCTTTTTGAACTCACCCTTAGAGTTTGTGACGTTATATCAACTATTTGAACAGAATCATCCATTAAGTATTTCTTCAAAACTCTCAAAAGTGCAATTAGAAGCTCTTCAGACACACTAGACCTCATGGAAAATATAATTTCAGAAGCAACACTACAGCTAAGGGGTGCACGACCATGTATATGGTTAGAGTCTCCAGGGAGATGAAAAACAACAGAGTGTGGATCTCCTATGCCAACCTACAACCACAATCAAGTACAGGGAAAATCATGTAAGCTCTCACATAAAGCATCAGAGAGTGAAGGTGTAAGCCAATCTAACATAAATACCCTGGATATTAAATCAGACACCAATCCTCTAATCCGACTAGAATCATTAGAAGCACACATGCGAACAAGTGTCCAAACTGCATGCACAATTTCTCCATCTCCATGCCAATATGTATCATCCACAAAATCTTCAGTAATCTTGCCTCCCTGAAATGTTTCCCCTGCAAGTAGCTTCTTGTGCAGAGCTTGTAGACTGCAAGGGCCAAGCAAACATGAAGCATCTTAACAGAAGATCATATTAAAGATTCAACTGACTCCATTCTAATTATAGAAAGCAATCGGTTTATAAATTCTAATTTGGTAATAGTGAGTCATTTAGCAGTAAGAGGTTTCTATTTTCTTCAATTTGAAGAATCAACAGCATGTAAATGTATATTTTGAAAGGACATCAACCTCCATGAAAGTAATCTTGGTGGAAGGTAGCAAGACCTCTTCACAATCTGAAAACAATCAGAAGAAAAACGGAGAAAAAGAACAGGAAAACTACAGTGAGGAAACCATTCAACCACACATATAATGATACATTGGTTTAGCTGGAATTCATTCAGTCTTGCCTTCAATAGATGGTCTCTTGGAGAGTATTCTCGGCACAAATCCTTGTGGAAGTTTCTTATTCCTTCAAAGATATCTATTTCAGGAAAGGGTTCCAATTCCTGAAATAGAAGACTCCATAAATAAGTTAATGGACACGTAGCTTCCAAAAGTTGAAAGAGAACCATAAAACTTTCTGCCTCTTGGCTTAGCATAGATGTCATACAAAACAATATCACATGTATCTGGAAAACTTCATAACAGTCAAATTAAGGCATAATTATAGAGCCTCCACATCATGGTAGGAAATCAAAGATACTTACTCTTATATAATCATAAAGAGATGGATCAGAATCCACTGTCAGCTCAAGAAGCAAAGACAAAACAAGAGATGATCCCGATGCAGAAGATTGCCCAACAGCTTCAAGAGGAATGCAACATGCCACCAACTTTGACACCAAAAACTGCAAAAGTAAACAGCTTGAGAATAGAGATTTCGTCCAGTTAATAAATTGTAAGCTTTAAAGGGTTCAAAAAATAAAATACCTGGAGTTGTTCACCAAGCACGCCCACAGTTTCCTTGGAAGGGTTGTTTTTAAAAGTTTTGAGTAAGGAAGAAATTATACGACAGCATTGATCTTGTAAAGCATGACAACCAAGAAATTGCCCAATCAAATTGAAAAGATAACTGCATAAACTCAAAAATGATTCAAATAAGAATTCAATTCATTAAAGCACAAAACGTTAATTAATAACTGCTCACGCCAAAACTAGTATGTGTAGTAGATTGAAATTCTTCCGAACCCTCAAACAACATTTCTGAGAATCCAAGCACCAAATATCACAATTAAACTTGGCAAAAGAAGCCTAAGAGAAATTAACCCATTCACACAACTCCATTATTGGATATAAAAGAATCCAAAGAAAAGATAAAAAAGATAAAAAAAATTCCACTTTATAAACATTAATCAACATCAATTGCGTTTTACAAATATGCCAGGCTTGATAAGATTGCAATATAGGTGAAATTGTCTTTGAGCAAGTGCAAAACTATTCTGCAAAGCAACTCCGAAGGGGAGGATGTTTTAAGAAATAGAAACATGGGATACAAAGCAATAGTTCAGATGATAAAAGTCCCCAGTCCAAACATCCTAAAATTGCAAGCAACTCAACATAAGAATTCTAATATGGCATCTCACCATTAAATCCGTAGAAAAAGTTGAATGGAGAGAGAAGAAAACATAAAAATTAAGAAAAACCCTGAATCCACAATTAACCAACCAAACATCAAATACATATTTTATATATATGCAGTTTACAACAATAAAGGGGAATTCCACACAAACATATTGCTAGAACAAAACCTTTAGAAGCTCATGCAAATGTCTCACGCATACACATAAAACTTTGATTATGTCATTAAGTACTTAATTGCAACTCACTTGAAAGTACTTGAAAGCGCAGCTCTATGTCCAAGAATGGTTATAAGCACCTCTATGGAAGCTAACCGATGGCATCTGTGCCTATGATGAATAGCTGCAGCAATTTTGTAATGCATTTCTACAATAAACTGCAAAATTAAAACAAAAGTGAAAATGACACATATTTAGGAAGACTATTCAGTGAAAACTCCTTGAATAGAAATGCTTATTATAAGAAAGCATCTTCACCATGAAAACTCTGTCAGGACGAAAAATGTTAATCTTGTCAATAACACTGATACTTGCACAGTGACCATCCCTACATGAGTCAAAGAAGAATTTTGTCATAAAACAAAGAAAATATAACAAAATGAATAATAAATAAAAAGCAAAGTGAACATAACACACATTTCCAAAAATCCATCGACAACTGTTTGAATTGCACGGGCAATATTATCCCTGGAGAAAAAAGGAATAATAGGTTCTGACGCACAAGATGCAAGAGAAAGAACATGGCTTACAATAGACACCTACAAATACACAAAGAAGAGGAAAACATCATACATTAGAGTCGATGTGATCATGATACATGATGATAGAACATATGTCCTGAAATTTAAATGATTTACAATAACTGAGATTTCATAAACAAACGCAGGACTAAAATGCTTTGAATACATGATTAAAGGGGCTATAACAGACCTAACACTTCACAAAAATACTATCCAAATGAAAGTAACTAAAACAACTCTCCTTTGAAAATGCTTTTTGAATGTTACTCAACTCAGTATTCACCATCTACGTGGTAAATCCATTAGGTTTTTTTTTTGGATAAAATGGAAGGCCTCATTAAATGCTGTTATCCCACATAAAAAAAGTTTTCAATTTGTTGCAGACATACATGCAAGTTGTCTCCCTCCACTTGTTACAATTGGTTCTAGATTGTACCCCTAATTTTTTCTATCATGAACTGTTATTGATGAATACATATTACAATAACAAAGTAAAAGAAATAACAAAAATTTTCCTGTGAGTGATCTTGGACAGTGGAACGTGGTCATGCTAAAACCAGCTTAAAAAGGTTTTGCACATAAATTTGTTATTACGAATCTCCGGATTTATCAAATTTACACGGAACATACCATATTTTTCTTGATGAGTTTATCTCTTTCACTCTCAGAAATCTCAGCAAAATGCAGAATAGAATTCTGAAGAACCATTGCTCCTTTCTCAAAACCAGAGCTCTTACTGCAATGCAGTGTCATACAAACTGAAAAAATCGGCACAAAATGTTCTTTAACCATAACAGGCAAAGGTTGGCCTGCAATCTGAAATCAACTAAGCATGTCAGTAAAACAAACTATAGTATTTAAGTAGAAATCTGGATAGATAACATTAAGAGACTAGCATGTATACAACAAAACCTATATCAGATTGACCAAAGACCACCTATAAACCTTAATTTCTTGCTGGAGAGAAGACACGTTGATTAGTGACTCTAAGATTACTTTGTAGGCATAACAATAAACCTTAAACTGTCTTTATCTACTCAAAGCAGAAAGGCAATGGAACATGGAATTTGCTCCTACCTTAGAAACCCAATTCAGGTTAGAGTTGTCCTCATGAATAAATAGAGCTGGAAGAAGCCAATGGAAACAATATTGCAAGAAGTAACTAGGTTCAGCATCTAATACAAAAAGTTGTCGTATCTGCAAAGAATAACCACCAATGGTCAGAAAATGTTTAGATTCAAAAGGAAAAATAAATGGAAAAAAGGAAAATGGTCATTGTATATAAAAATAATTACGAACATACATAAATAAGGATGCAGAACACGCTTTTCACATTCCTTAATTGAAAGCAAATCAAACAACCCTAATAGAAAGATATTAGTCAAGTTTACAATGCAAAATCAATGTAATTGATTTTAGCCATTCAACTGATGAGTTAATTGGAACATATGAAACCTCAAATCATTCAGTAACTTCCACGGATTATCAGAGCATTAATATACAGGACAAGAGAAAGATATAATTCAAACCAAGCCAAATTAATTTAGCAACATTTTTAAAAAACATAAAAAACTATTACCTTAGAAAATGAGGGCAAAAAATTAAAAAATGAGATTGGACATATCTGAAAAGTACAAATGCTGCTAAAACAACAAACGAATACAACGTAGGAGTTGTGAAAACAGACACTCAATTGTCTACAGAAGACGCCACTTATTTTGTTTTGTTTACATATTAAAAATTGAGATTGGACATATCTGAAAAGCACAAATGCTGCTAAAACAACAAACGAATACAACATAGGATTTGTGAAAAGAGACACTCAATTGTCTACAGAAGAACCTACTTATTGTGTTTTGTTTACATATATAACAGGTATGTTACCTCCACAAGGGCTGCTATGCTGACACCACAAGCAACCCAACAAAATAAAATGGATCCAATAAGTTCATCCAAGTACTGCACAGGGAAAAAAAATTCGGCAAAGTTAAAGCCAAATAAGGGTGCAGATAATTAGGAAATTCAAAGAACTTCCAGCAAACAAACCCCATAAATCTACCAGCTAAAACCCTGATCAATATCCATCAAATGCTTTATAAAGGGGTCCATAAAGAGGGGCATTTCCACAGGGTAAACCTCCTTAAGGAATACAAATCACAGCTATCACTGTTTCACATCAACAATCTTAGTTCATTAATAGGAAGGAAATCCGCTCACCTTCATTCTTGACATATACTGTAGCTTTCTCGATAGATTATCAAGTGCTGTGTTTACTAATTCCCTGAAGCAAAAAGATTTCCACTCAAAGGAACAAAACTGTTGGAAAATATCACAAAAGGATAAGGGTAGGATATTGTACCTCTGACAAGGATCCATGGCAGAAACTGCACACATCATGAAAACAGCCTGCATATTAAATGAATAAAACCATTATGTCTATCTAAGTTGCACATTCTATTAACCCATTCAATCCCATACAAATTGATCAAGAAGTGCAGGTGCTATATTAACAAACCAAAACCATGTCACACCTCTAGTTCAATATTCTCACTATGCAAAGCTAGCTGCATAAGGGTAATAATGACAGTTTCAACTTTTTGACGGGACTGTGGACCTGCAGTAAGAACTTCCTGAGCTGTAACAAGCTTTTCTTTGGAGTAAAAGACCAACTCAATGCCAAAGTTAGAACTGCAGAAACAGCAAAGGAACAGTTACAGTTTGATGTGTTACTTTTTTATGATTAGGGATCATTATATACATGTTAATGGAGGGGAAAGAAAAAGAATGAAGAGAACTATAGAACCTACATGTAATAATATGTCCTAATTAAAATCATATAATAATACTAAATACCCTTCTCAATAATGCCTACGGATATCAATATAAGATAGAACTATAATGTGCAAGGGAAAACGTTTTTCTTTTCTATTCAGATAATAATGTACATAAAATTTTAGCCATTTGACAGTAATTCTAATGTTCAAAATGGAAGAAAGATGCTTAGACATTTTTCAACAGTGCCCTTATTAGCAGATTTCAGAGAACTCATCCAGTCAGCGTGAAACTTTATCAACAATTTTTCCACACAAAACTTCATACGTTCAAATGAGAACTACTGAATTAAAAAATAATACAACGTCTATTAACTTTCAGGTATCTTAGGCACATAAATTTAACATGAGACTCTCTTCTTATTGCTATTTGGTTTATGCTGGATGCTATTCTTAAAATAAAAATCAATAGTACACATATAGCATGCAGGAGAAAATAAGGGAAAAGTCATTGAGAAAATTTACACCACAACAAAAACAAAGACAACATATAGAGGATGATGTCTATTGTATCATTATGGTGCTAAAACACAATAATATAGAGATGAAGATAGCAATATCAGCCACTGCAACAATAGAACTTTACCAGCATTAAAACCAATACTTCTCAACTAAAAGGAAAAGAATAAATATCTGGCTCAAAATAATTGGCATGTGCGTCACAATTACAAGGGCCTATCAATTAAATGCTAAATTGTTTTAAAGTGGATGCATACAGAGGAGGAATCTAATTGGATGCATCTATCCCCGTTCATTAGTCACCCGGTTAAAGATCTATTATGCCTACAATGCAAAATTCAAGTCACATGATATGACCTTATGACTACATGTGAAGTTCATGTCATGTGAGAGGGAGAGTATTGAATAGGTCACAAAAGGAAATTGGCATATATTAAATGGGGGTATCCTGGGCAGATCAATATAATAATGGCCTCTTCAAGTATTGCCAAAACATTTCAGGCAGGATGTCAGTCTTAACGATTAACAAGTAGTAACCACTGTATATTGATATATTCGAACACGAACTCAAACTCACCAAATATCATGGAAGAGCTCTCCATGGCCATCCCAGGTCTGGAATAGAACACCAATGTGCCTACTTAGAAAGTACCTAACTCGATAATCAGGATCATGAAGCATGAAAAGCAGCTTTTCAATCATTCCCTGTAGATGGTTATGAATCAGCAAAAGTTCCCCGTGTAGTGGCATGTGGAGAAAGAAAGAGAAACCTAATCAATCCATTCAATTTAAATAATGTTTCTCATCCAGAAGTACCTTCACAGTGCTGATGACCAACAACTTTTTAGATTTTTCACAGCATCTTTAAGGAAACAAAACTATATCACCACTACATTTCTTTCATACATATTATTTTAGATGATGCATGTACTTTTCAGTCTGATCTAAGACACGGAAATAAGAGGGGCACTAAGGGAAGGATCCAAAAATAATCACCTGGCCGATCTCAGGACTGAGTAATATAAAATTGCAAATGCAGTCAATTAGTTTAACTCGACCAAACCAGTCAGGAAGACCAAGTTCTGCAACTTTGCTGATCAGCTTCCCAAGATACACCAAGGACTGCAATGAAATATCAAGCAAAAACACAATGGTTGGGACGTAATCTCCAGGTCAATCTCATCATCACCATAGTGTTGAATAGTATATTAAGTTTGCAACAAAAAGGAACAATATCTGGATATAAAATTTTAGATAGGGAGTTGACAACTTAGTCAAAGCAGGTTGAAATCAAAATGCAATGCCAACTTTTCATCAAAACTGAGAACTTATGATTTTATATATCACCTGATCAAAAATTATATTAATCTTAACTGGAAAAAAAAAAACCCATGTTTTTTTTTATAGGAATTGAAGGCCTCGTTAAAAACCTCCTTGATTAAGAGAGCTTGTAGAAAAGCTCCTTAATCAGCGGAAGGAGGAAAAGAGTGCCTTAAGATTTCATAACCATAGGAAACATAAGATACAACCAGAAAAGCCTCCCCCAACATAAACAAACAACCCAAAACAGCCAGAAGAACCCTAAACAGCAACACTAACACAGCGAAATTCAACTAAGCTAAACCGACAGTCACAAAAATGACCGACCAGAATTAACACCTTAACTACCCGAAAACCAGCACAAAAACAAAACAATTACAGCAGAAGCCGAATATCACAGCTGACTCAAACCATAAAATCCAAAATCAAAAACAAAAAGCCCTGAACTTCCACTCAACGAGTACAAGACTCTTCTTCCGCATTACTGCCTCTTCTGCCTAACTGCCTCTTCTAGCTCGACATGTCTACAAAGACCATCCAAAACTCCAACTATAGAGCCTTCAAGATCAGAAAAAACTCCCTCTCCATGCACCTTCCTCTGAGACTTCTTGCTTTGACTTTAACGAGGCTTCCTTTGATGAGCAGAGGATTTTTCTTGAAAATTTCGGAGAGAACTAAATATAGCATTTCTCTCCTCCAAAGCTGTTTTTTTCTAACGCCCAACCACTTTCTCAGAATTCGACAGCCCCATCCCCTGACCAGCAGGCAGATCCTCGTGCACAGCTGTCCCACTAACCGAACTAACAATCGGGAACTCCAGGAACCTATTACTATTTAATAAAACCTTGGTCTGCTGAGAACCAACATTCCTAATTGGAGCCAAACGCCTCCCACTAACAGCAAGAGACGTGTTGCACATCTTTCGAAATTGCACTATCAACTCTAGCATCACACACTTCCAAACCTGAGCCCACTAGCTTCCTTCAAAATATTAAAATCAGCACTCCTTTGGCCAACTGAACCGAGCGTAGCTTCCCCATTACTGTTTTTCGGGTTATCACAAAACAACAGCTTATGCCCATGCACATTAGTCCCCACTTGCGCCCCCTAGCTACCTCCAAAGAATTAAAAGTGCCGCTCAACTGGCAATCAGACCCATGCGCAGCTGTACCGTAACGGACTGTCGGGGACACAATTTCCACAGCCCTTACCTCATCGAAACATGGACCATTTCCTACATCCTCGGCACCTGAACCACACATACCACCACCAGAATGCGTGCCTTCAAAACACGCTCGAGTTTCTAGCTGAACTTCCTTAATATTAGTGGAATCAAGATTAACTCCAGAAATCGTTCCAGCATCTACCACCAACTCGGAAGGCTTAAACGGCGAGACACCACAAAGCTCCCCCTCCGTGGGCAACGGGGCTGCTACTGACGTTTCCAACATAGACGAATCAATCCAGACGGAATCTGGGCTAAAGCAAGGTTCAAACTCAGGAACAAAAACTGTAAAAGACTGTTCACCAACTTTCAAAACACAGGATTCTTCCAATCGATCTTTGCGGTTCGTAATGATCTGAAAACAGGCCCTATCAAATGAGCCAGGATTAACGGTTCCTTCGTCAATGGAGATAAGAGCTCCCCATTTTTCTGCTATGTTCCTGAAAGCTGAATGGCACCACACAAACGGAGGGATCCCTTTACACGATAACCATGCCCGTCGACTGCTACACTGAAAGTTTTCCGACCACAAATCCACTTTGACAAAGCATTTATTCAACGCTCCAATCTGATTTTTTAGAGTATAGTCTCTACTCTCTTCATCTTCAAATATAATCAAAATAGCTAAACCACTTAACCTCATAATTTTCGGGACTAATATGCCTTCCTTGTGCATAATAGCAGCTAGCTCTTTCATTTTTAAAAATTTTCTACTCCAACCAACCAAACAATCTCTAAGAGTAATGAGCTTATCCTCGTCAACTACACCAATAATTGGCGCCTCTTTGACATCTGCTTCACTGCTCTTGACCACAGCTGAATTTGAACCAGAATACTTTTTCCTCCAGAAAACATCACGAGGTTGAAATCTCGCCATGAACACTCTAACCTTTTTATCTTGAATCCAAGATCTATCGGCACAGAGGATAGCCCTCCTCGCGTCCTCCACTCTAGAAAATCGGACAAAACCGAATCGACCACCTCGCCATATTTATCGAACAATAACCTAAGACCTTGATAATGAAGACAATCTGGAATATTGAAAATAATAATTGTAGCACAATTCTTCCCTCCAGATCTTCTCAACTGACTCGCCATTAAAGGATTCGAAAGTGATAAAGAAAGAAAATTTTGAGCAGAGGATGGTGAGAAAATGTTGACCCATGAAACCCGTAAAATGTTGATTTCCCTTTTTAAGAAGAGGATGGTGAGAAAATTTTCAAAATTCAGTAAATTTTCATTTTCTAGGGTTTCTCATCATCTATATTTTTTCAGCAGAAACCAACCACCGTCTTCATGCATCAAATGACAGTTATTGCTAGACTTGTCAAAATAGAGGTGGTAGTATGTGAAGCAGGGCTGAGTGAGTCATTTCCGGTTTCAACTTACAATTAGTTTCAGGCTGTTAAGGTTTCAATTTGGAATGGCTTTTACATTTACTGATCTCCTAGCAAAGAGGAATCACATTCATGTCCACCTCGGTCTTGATTTTAGGTTGACATAGTTCAAGATCAGTTTGGTTTAAAAACAATTTAAGATATTTGAAACTCAACAATATACGAGCTCCTTCCGCTGATTAAGAAGCTTCTCTACGAGCTCCATTAATCATGAAGGGGGTTTTTAACGATGCCTTCAACTCTTATAAAAAAAATATACAAGGTTGAATAACCATGTATTAATCAATCAAAGAAGAGAACTGCGGCACATTTGACCCAAATCCAAAAAGAATGCATTATTCAAATTGTGGATGTAATGTTTGAGGCAAAACTAGAAATTCACCTCAAAGCCCAATCTCTTCCCCTCAATCATTCAATTTTCTTTTATCAAATTACACAATAAAATTCTAAAATACCTGTTTAGCTTCTCTTTCTTCGGAATATACGGCACCATGTTTATCCTTTTCAAAGTTCAAAGATAGAAGAGTATCAAGCAAACAACCAATAGCAGCTAGAACGTTAAAACTATCAAGCTTCTGACTAAGTTGCACTTCGATCCTGTTATGTATTAAGTTGATCTAGAGTAAGAAAAAAAAAGTTAGAACAAAGGACAAGATAAAAATAAAAAAGGAAAGAAAGACCCTACTAAAAATGCATGAGCATTAAACAGGCTTCTATTGTCTCTGTTGCAAATGCTTTTACAGGAAATCATTATTAATTATACATAATCATCTACCTTGTAGCTTGACGGTTATGAAGGGGTTCTAACGAAGCCTTTTTCTTATCAAAAAAAAATTATACAAAATCATCAGATAAACATTTTTCATACCAGATCTGTCATCTTTGAAGAATATAACGAGTGGAGATGCCGACAAATATTGTACAAAATAATGTCATACACCTGAATGCATTGGAAAGTGAAACTATAATTAAAGCGAGAGAAAACCAGTTAAATTGCAGGTAACACGGGAAGAAAAACATGCGGAACAATACTACTAAACTCTTGCATACCTTCAAGTCAAGTTCTTTTTCCATGAGGTTCAATAGACATCCCATGTTTTATCACGCACAACCGAGAAAAAACTTGAGATTAGTGACACCATTCCCAACTTCCACTTCACTGAAGAGGAAGATCCACCAGAAAGAGTTTTTCCACTACATATCTGAATATTTACATCTTTTCCATCCTCATTTAGATCGAAGAAATCCATGTCCATGAACCTACTTTTATTGCTCTCCACATTGGTTGAGATTTGTATAGAAGACTCAGATCCAGAAGAATCTGCCAGTATCTCAGACTGAAGGTTAGTTACACTTTCAGTATATTCATCATACAGTGTAGCAAATTCCTTCAGAAGACTCTTTAGGGATTGCTTTACAGCATCATCAAGTACAACATCCAGCGCATCTCCGTCTCTCCTTTGTGTGAAAAGAGGCCCAAGAACAAAGCTTTTAAATGAAACAACAATAGCACATTTTTGGTTCAAGCTGGATGTAGGTCCTAAAATTCCAAGTGATCTGGAGTCACTTTTGTTTTCTTGAATAACATTAACAGCATAATTCAGTAATTTCAACAAAAATTGACCCAATTTTGAGAGAAATGAGGAAGCTTCTTCTCTTTTCCTGGCATAAACAATCCATTTAAAGCAATTAGTAAAAGAGTATAAGATGAAAGGAATAAATGATGACAAAAGATAAGTAGTTCATGAAAAAAAAAACTAAGTTTAGACCATTGAACTGCAAATAAAAATATAAAGAGAAAAAGGAAAAAAACTTGTAAAGGAGAAGGAAATGGCATAGTCAAGACATGCTATAATCAGTCTGGTTAAATACCATTTAAATATTGTTTCTGTTTTACAAACAAAACATGTCTCTGCAACCATAAAATCTACACTTTAACAGAGAGAGCCCAAACAAGCGAACGCCTTCCATGGAGAAACCATAGAATGCCATAGTCAAAACAGGCTATAATCAGTCTAGTTAAATACCATTTAAATATTGTTTTTGTTTTACAAACAAAAACATGTCTCTGCAGCCATAAAATCTACACTTTAACAGAGAGAAAGCCCAAACAAGTGAAAGCCTTCCATGGAGAAAACATAGAATGGGAACAAGAAAATTGATTAGAACTTAACGAAATAATTCACTCAAAGGACGAACTTACCGACAATAGTGGCTAGCATCAGAGTATTAACTCACCTAGCAACTTTCTCAATAGAATAAATGCTAAAACAAATTGGTCATCTCCATAATAGACAATGTCAAATAAAATTGTTCAGAGGAGAAGAGACAAGATTCATAAAAGTTTGCCACTTAAGTAAAAAATAAGATTATGCCGAAGTTCAACATAGTGGAAAATCGCTTAGTTGTTCAGATATTAAAATTTATATGCATAGGGATCAAAGATAAAAAAAATTATTGGCCATATATGTATGGAAGTTTCAAGATTTTGGGGCCTTCTCATTGGTGAAACTGAATACTAGTCGCAGGAAAACTAGGTGACATATTTTTACAGTGATAGGATGCAAACTCAAGTTTTTTGGCACAATGATAGGGCGAGCTTCAATTATTTTGAGGAATGCGTTCAGGAATCCGAGATCTAAGAAGGGCTTAATTCAAAGGATGAAGTAGTGGTGAGCCTATAGAGAACATTGTTTAATAAAGAATGAGGTCAATTAAAGAAATAAAATAAACTGGATGGGTTATAACAATCAAGGCAACCATGCCCTCAAGGAAACAACTTTTAATTTCATTAATCATTAGCCAACCAAATGAAAACAAAAGATTGGGAATTAAAGAAGCTCTTGAACAACTCCTTGATTTGCAAGTACTTAGACTTTACATACGATTTAATACTTTTAGGAACTCCTAGAAACACTGAACAAAGTTAAAAAGATACCTTTCAAGGTTTTAGTTATGTCCCTCCTACAAAGTAATTTAAACTGCATAGGAGTGTTGCTGTAAAACATGTTAGTAGAATTGTGTAGAATTGTGAATTGTAAAGCGGATGAATTAACTAAGATAGGAATTGGGTGAATTTCTGGTTTTAGGTTCATATAGATTATACTGTCTGCTGTTGTTCACTATTATGTACTGGTTATAATGTACTGGTTTGTTCGTTAGTAATAAAATTTTGAGGCACTCTTTTCCTCCTTCCAATGACCGCCGAGCTACCCTAGGGTTCTTGACGGTTATGAAGGGTTTTTTTAACGAGGCCTCCCTTTCTAATCAAAAAAAACAAAAAGATTGCATTGATGAGTTGTAATCTCTTGAAACTTGAAAGGTCCAACTCCATGCAAGCTTGTCAGGCTACCATGGACTTAGGACAGTCCACCATATCTATTGTACTTAAACATTGTTTTGACATAGCACAGTCCACTATATATGTCGTGCTAAAAATTGATTATTAATTAAAAATATAAAGGAATGCAAGTTTGAACCTGCGTCTAGGTCAAAAAGGCCTTTGGTATCATGCAAAGGAATCACAGGACCTAAAGGCTTATGATACAAGAGAAAGACCAAGAATAGGTTTTAAGTTTCTTCAAGATAGCATATAATAAGTAATTCCCCATTCATGGATGCACCGCGAACATATATAAAAATGCAAAGCTGATGAAGACAAGTTTTAAGAAGATAATACAAACCTAGTTATATATAATCCACATATTAAATTGCACAGTAGACCACATATGAAGAAGATATCAGACAACGGCTTCTTTTCAACCTTGAGATCTGCTAGAAGCCCTAAAATAAGGGTCTCCATTTCTTGCATCAGTGGTTCTCTCAACTGTCGAGGAAGACATAAACTTTGCTGGAACTGATAGGGGGAAACCTGAAATTTTATAAAAATTAACAATAATAAATATATAAAATTGAATACAAAGAATACTTTTAATAATAACAGCCCATCACCTGAATCTTTGAATCCGAATCAATTTTTGCAAGAACTTCAATAGAACATTCAAAATTTTCAAGCTGCTTTTCATGATCATATTCATCAATCTATAGACACAATCCAAATTCAAATTATCAGAAAAAACAACATATAGTCTGAGATTCAGACATCAAGCCACAACAAGAAATGTCAACCACCTTGATCCAATCATCTGCAAACTTGGTAGCTTCCACAAAAGACGGTAACAAGTGAATTTCTTTGTAACACTGAGTAAAGGGTTCACACCCAGCACAAAGTGCATAAACTGCTGCTGGTAACAATAATACCATGCGTTCATTTAGTAAGGAAGGTTCCTGCATTCCGTAAATAAAGAAAAATTGAGAGTTAAAATAGATAGCCTATTCTGCTGCAAATGAATAGCTTAAAAGGTGACAAACTAACCACAAGTAGGGATATATGATTATATACTCATTCTCAACAGTAAACATCCAAGAAAAGGCACAAGCCACAAGTTCCACTATAACAAACTTCTCCGTTCAAAATTTCTAGCAATCGTGGATTTTTTTTTTTTATAGGAATAAGGCCTCATTAAAAAAACCCTTCATAACTATTAAGTTTTGTAGAACTCCATATTCATTGGAAGGGGGAAAAGAGTGCCCAGAATTTTATTGCCAAACATTAGAAATACAACCAAAACCAAACATAAACAATACAAAGACACCCATTTCAACAACCCACCACCCCCTTACTCACCGATACAAAAACCTGTCCTCACACTATCCTATTCCTGATTTAGCTAAACAATCAGCTTCCCCATTAATACATCTGTTAACATGCCTAGTTATAACATTAAAATGCAGCACAGTCTTCTGAATAACTCTGACCAAATCAACATAGCGAACCGGGAAAAGATCCGGGTTGTTGATCCACTTCAAAGCAAGAGAGGAATCACTCTCTAAAATCAGAATCCCCTTATCCCTCCAAACTGAATCAAAAAACAATTCTAACCCTGCTTGGATCGCTAAAATCTCTGCAAGTATCAGAGGGCATGGTCCTGTCGCTCTTGAGAAGGAACCCAACCTCCTATTATCATCATCCCTTAGGACTCCTCCAATACCACTGCATCTCCAGTCAAAATTAACAGCCCCATCAACATTCATCTTAAAAAACCCCGAAAGGGGAGGACACCACTTTGTCTTAAACAAACCAAGCTTAGAAAGGGAACGATGCACATCCGCCAAGGTTAAGTCACCCACAAGGCTGTCTACATGTATAGATTTTTTTCAAACCGAATTGCAGCTCAAGATTTTTTTTTTGATAGGAATGGCAGGCCTCGTTAAAACCCCCTTCATGATTAATGGAACATAAAGTGCTCCTTAATCAGCGGAAGGAGGGAAAGAGTGCCTTATAATTCATTAAAACGCATAAATTACATAATACTTAGGGAACAGTCATATAGACTCCCTATACACACCAACCCCTAGCTTAAAAAAACAAACCCAAACATAACCAAAAGACTTTAAAGCTAGCCAATACCAGCCTTTGCTAAGGCATCAGCCTCAACATTTGCTGACCTAGCAACCCACCTAATAATGCCTCCCAAACCTCTTAACTTAGTAACAATTTCGTTCACAAGGTCTACATATACATTGGGACATCTATCATAGTTCTTGATCCAGTCCACTGCAATTTTACTATCAGTTTCAACAATCAAGCGATCCTCAAACTGTTGCTGGATTGAAGCAAAGAAAAACAAACCCTTCTTAATTGCCATTAGTTCTATCAAAATGGGAGGACCCGGACCAGAAGCCTCTTGAAAAGAACCAACCACCGAGCCATTCTCCACTCTTAGAATTCCCCCAACTCCACTTTTCCTCCAAGCTGCAGTAACAGCTGCATCCACATTCAACTTTATATAGCCCTTTGGAGGCCGAGTCCAGGCCTTAATTTTAATGACTGAAGATCTAGAATTAGCGCAACAATCCCCAAGCGAAGGATCACAAATAAGACAGCCCATTAGAATAGACGTCTCCTTATAGACAGCTAAGAACCATGCAGCCAGCCGATATCTTGCCATAAAGAAAAGATCAGTCTGATCTAAACTCCCCTTATCAAACACAATCGCATTCCTACATTTCCAGATTGTCCAAAACACCACTCCCGGAATGAAAGACCAAATTATAGAACTAGGCACCAAATCTCCCCAAGCTAACAAAAAACTTTTAGCATCAGCTTGTAAGACTGAACAAACTCCCCAAAATCTCAAAAAATTATTCCAAACAGACCACGCGACCGAGCAAGTAAAAAATAAATGAGAAGAAGATTCATCCACCTTCTTACATAATGGACAAACAACATCAACAATTGCTGAAACTCCTCTCTTCTGTAATTCAAGTTTAACTGGCAACCTTTGATACACGACCTGCCACATGAAGATCTCCACTCTAGGAGGCACCAAACCCCTCCAAATGTGCTTCATCCAAAAAGAATCTGCTGTCAAAACAGGACAGCAAGACTTCAAACACAACTTAACAGAAAAAATTCCTTGCCCATTCCCTCTCCAAACCATACCATCTGACATCTCATTATTTAGTGTGAAATTATGGATAACATCCATTAACTCAGCAAACTGATCCAATTCCCAATCACTTAAATTCCTTCTCAATTGAATATGCCAAACCCAAACTGATGACCGAAACTCCCCAAACTCATTAAGCTTCCGATTTTTGTTTATCGACAGAGCAAACAATCTTTGGAAAACCACTTTAAGAGGGACATCAAGCGCCCAACTATCAAACCAAAATCTGATACTCCCACCATTCCCCATCCTAACATTAAACAAACTTCGAAACCTAGTTCCAAATTGAACTTGAGCACCGTTCGAGTAACAAACTTGTAATTGAACTTTAAAGATAGATAATTTGCATAACCTAAAAAGGATCCAATGGAAGCAGGAAAGTTGACCTGCAACAATAAATACATTACAAGAAAAAGAGGCCTATGGGAATCCTCAAAAATTCAGCCTATTATGCCGGAAATGGCTTCAGGTAGGTGAAACAAAACATAAAATCACTTGCCTAAATAAACTAAAGAAAGTCATACACAGTAATGGAAAATGACCAAGGATGTTATTGTTTCCATTTCCAAATGGCAAGATGTTTCAAAGGTGAGAGACTCAGCCACATGAAATCAAGAAATTTAACTTTAAAGCGACTTCAGATCAAAGAATTGTATTTCTACTAACTCCTAAAATTGGAGAGTCTCATAATCAAGACTCAACATTTCTAGGAATCACTGCTACCACAATTAAACTAGAATTAATCTTGATTGCCAACAACCAAAAAGAAAAATGGCTCTCCTTGTCTCATTAGGGGTGCGTTTGGTTCACGGAATGTAAGATTGCCAGTGGGAATAAAAGATTACCAAGGAATAGGATTACTGGGAATATTGTATTTTGTGTTTGGTTGGTTTAGCAGGAATGTAAGATTATCATGTTTGGTTAAAGGAATAAAAGATTATTGGAATGTATATTTGACCAAATTGTCTTATTATATATTTGTTTTTTAACAAGTTGGAAAATATTTATATATTTTCTTTAAAAAATTTAAATTCATAAAATTTATATAATTTTTTTACAAAATTGAAAATATAAAAAGGTTTAATGAAATGGTAAAATTTTATTTTAACCCTTGAATTTATTATAAAATTTTAATTATAGACTTTTTTTGTAAATCTAAAATAGTTTAAGGATAAATTTGTAATTTAACCTTCGTAGAATTTTTATTATTCAATGACAGAAGAATGATATTTTTGGGGAAAAAAATTAAGGACATTTTAGTCCAAAACACCGATAATCCAACAATACCTAAGAGAATGGAAGTAATGACATTCCCGGTAATATACCCCAAAAAATCTACTATTGGTAATAAAACATTACCGGGAATGACATTCCCGGCCAACCAAACGGGGGAATGTGGATTTCATTCCCATGGGAATCACACATTCCCCGAACCAAACGGCCCCTAGATGGAAATATAATAGAAAGGGAGAATGTAATTTGATTCATTGGATGGAATAAAGGGGAATATTATTAAGATGTTAGATCGATTATGATGTTAACGAATATGGAATAGACAAATAAGAATAGTTCTTCCCTTCAATTTAATACTAACATTTTACTTACAAAAATTAAAATTATCATATAACTAGTAATAAACATTATAAGTTTAATTATTTTTGAAAGAAATAGGAGGCCTCATTAAAACCCTTCATAACCATCAAGCTACGAGGATAACTTGACGGACATTGGAAGGAGGAAAAGAGTATCTCAATATTTTATTCCTGAAATACCAAGTACATCAATAGTTCATTACAACCATACACAACCAAAAGATTTCATCAAAAAGAAACCACAATAATCTGCCAACTTATCTAAAACCTTCTCCCTAATTTAGGACTACTTTTCCATTCTATACAACAACCTAAACTTCCTATAAATAACAATTTAGTCTGCTAAACTTCATATAGTTGCCCAATTCCTGATTTTGCCAGCTCGTCAGCCATCCAATTACAACATCTCTGAATGTGCCTTGGATTTACACTTTTATTCACCACTAATGCAAGAATTTCGTTAACCAAGGATTCAAACAAAGCTGAGCAAGAACCATGATTTTTAATCCACTCCAAAGCCTTCAAACAATCTGAATCCAAAATCAATCTTTCTTTAGAACCCCACTCCCTCTCAAAGAAAAAACTTAATCTAGTTTTAATTGCCAGCAATTCAGCCAAAATAGGATGTCCAGGCCCCACTTTTTCTGAGCAAGATCCCAACAACTTACCATTCGAATCATGAATAAGACCACCAATACCCCCTCTAAGCCACTCCTTCTCCACTGCTCCGTCAACATTAATCTTCAAAAAGCCCGATGGAGGAGGGGACCAAGCCGATGAAACTGATATCGCCTTCTTAGCTTTCCAATTCATATCCGCCAAAGATAAGTCACTCACTAAGCCATCAAATTGCATACTCGCATAAGGAAATTTCGCCACAAACCATGAAACCAATCCAAATCTAATGAGAAATGACAATTGAACCGAGTCAAAACAACTTTTCTTGAAGGCTATTTCATTCCTACACTTCCACATTGACCACATTATCGCACCTGAAATTAACGACCAAATGAAAGAATAACAAACTAGCTCCATCCGAGCCATAATAAGATCAGTCGGATTACATGGAAGCACTGCTATTACTTTCCAAAAACGCAAAAAGGAACACCACTTACCCCACACAAACTTACATGATACCATCAGATGCGAAACAATTTCATGTTCGAGATGACAAAGCGGGCAC